GTAACCAATGTATATCGCATCTGATGATGTCCGAGCAGGATCTTATATGGTATTCCTTTAGATTCCTAGCATGTGTATGACTATGGCAGATACAGTAACCACTCACGGCTCACTGACAGCCTCCGCTCTGGCAACCAGTCCCACAGAATTCTTCTGTTGTACCGCAGAATCTACACTTCATTAGCAAACTGTTCTACCTTGAGACGCCCAACAGTAGGCTTTCATACCCAAATTGAGAACAGCAGGCATTCCCCGGACATTTTGTGCCTTTGACAGCAGCGTATTCTAACCTCTTTAGTCTCACTCGAACCTTGATACGGGAAGATATGGCAGCCTACCTCCACACTCGGCCACCGCATCACAGTTGTTGATACAGACGTCAGATCCGCAAAAGTCGGGCCCAAACCCACAGTATCCGTTGTTCGAACAACAGCCAACGACACATGCCTGTGTCTTAGAACATGTTTGTGCGTGGGCTTGGAAGCTGCTTCCCAGCAGGCAGCTGACGAATAGGAACTGTGAAATGAATGAGTGGCGCATGGCGGAAATCGGTCAAGTCTGTGACTAGGTTTCGATGGTGTCAGGTCAGGTCAGAAGTGTCTGGGAGGAGGTTCCTTATATATCTGAGGGTTTCCGAATGCTTACTACTTGTGGATACAAGTTCGACCTGATTTCTTGTAATTTTCTTAAGGCCGTCCAGCCTAACTGAGAAACAGGGTTTGTGCAGGAGGACTATTATCTCACTCAGATATGATAATCTGAATGCGATTTGGGAATTGTGGCTTGGCCTGCAGATCAGATTGTCTGACGGGAGGCCTGAAAGTCTTGACCTATTATATTATATCTCTGAGACTGTTTTAGAGCATAGTTTGCTTGAATGTCAGCATACCATAGTCTTGTTCTTCAGGCCCCGGGTCAATTTGCTGACAATCTAGCTATACATAGTGCCCAGTCCATTAAGCATGAAGTATTCTTCTCATCTGCTCCTCCTAGACTAAGACTTTTACCTAATGATGGGCAAATGGCTTCAGCAAGGCTTCCATTGTTACATCTGGAATGCAACCTCAAGCCACATGGACTGTTTAACTGCACTTTGAGCACATCATTAGCCTTGTGTTTTGAGTTCAGTTGGGGATTAGTTAGCTGAGTGAGAGCCGTAGTCCCGAGATGGATGTAGAAGAAGGACCGGGTTAAGCAGGACCATCCCCGACAACCACTCGATTGTCATAGGGCGCCTGATGCGAGGCTGTAATTTGGCTATTCAGGTTTAGTATTATTGGCAAGTGTGGAAGGATTCGCTGTCCCTGACTGGACTGATGACTTACGTGGATGGAGTGCTTCTCATTATGTAAATAAGGTGAGCTTTCCGAGGGAATTCGCCTTCAATATACCAAGGCCTTTTTTTCTGTTGCTTCTGTTTAGTACCAATTGTACCTCAGTTGCCGATTTGTCTGATTGTGAAGGACTTGTTGCTGGAAGCCAAGAGAGCACTCAACCAGGAATATGGGGCTACAGCTCGTCTGCTGATATTTATGATACCTTCCAGCCAGGCAAGGTCTACGATTCCGTCGCAAAGAATCTCGAAATCAGTCTCCAGTGAGACAAACGAAAGCCTTTTCATACGAGACAGTAAGGATAGATTTAGATGGGAAAAGCCACTCCCAGCCTTGAGGAGCTCAAAGATGCTACAGAATCACAGTGGCAACCCAAATATTGAAGTGACTATTATGGCAGCACCTACACCATGTTCACCACCTAGCAGATCTTCTTTGGGGCCATTAAACTCGACAGCGAAGTGATTGAGGCTACGCGAACGTTTCTCATGCTTTAAACGATATGAGGATGGCCGCTTAGTGACAAACACCTGTACCCTAGCAGTGAAGAATGGAAGCAGAAAGTGAGATCATCCATCCCTGTTCTCACATCAGTTTGTTTCTAGCCAAGCTGAACCCGATCTCCTTAGAAATTCCAACCGTCCTGGATCTGCAAAGATGACTTTCTGGTATACTCAGCCCAGCAGAGTCAAAACGGAAATCGCCGTATGTCCACTTGCCTCCTTGATCTTTCAATGTCGTCCAACCTGATAGTCAAGAGGTATATGAGGATACGGGATGGACGCCTTTGATATATCTCCCCTTCCCTCTCGACGATCGACTCTGCCATGAAGGGTTTACCGACCTAGCCTACACCTTTTTCAATCGCCTGAGCGATCTGGACGAAATCATCATCTGGCTACTCACTTGGGACAATTTGTAGATGTCCTGAGAGTACGGTATGCTCGCCAACATACCCAGCTATGCAGATGCTGTAGCTGGCTTTGACCTGGATTGGCTCAATAAACATGCCGGTGCTACATTCACCACAATACTTGGGAACAGTAGAGCAGGCAAGAGCGACCAGCTTACGAAGAGACTCCCATGTACCGTACTGACGCTGATAAACTCTAGTATACGTGAAACTGGATGGCACCGGTGGTTGGCTTCGACGGGATAAAGTATCTTGCTACCCGCCGGATAAATTCAAAGAAGTCGCAGAAGATGGCACGGTCACGTACAAGACGTTTGAATACTAGAAGTTACCAAAGCATGAACAGCTGTAGTCTCGCAGCAGTGGAGTGGCAGAGGTCATGGTGGGAGTCTGGGATCTCATTGGACTGTCTTCTTCCCGAACAATGTGAATCTACTTCGATCAATACAGCATTATCCAAGATAAAAGAGCCCCATTCGCCGAGTCCAACTTCATTTCGCCTGCATTAACTCATTTTTACCATTGCTGGTCGCCTAAGCTTGTCTCGCTCATCTCTGCGAGGGATTCCAATGCCGATCATCTCTCTACAGAGTCAGCAGTCAGCACTAGCAATGTCTGCATTGTTAGCTCGTAGGCAGTCAGCGTGATATTAATGCATAAGACCCCTGCAGGAAACGCTTAGCTCCATGGAAAAGCTTACCTCGTCCGCTAGACCGCTGGAAAGTTCTACATGGGGGGCTGAAATGGGTGTGCAACACGAAAGCATTCCATCCAGCTGAGTCCTTCCCAATTTAATAATGTAACATCACTATCGTGCCGGTTTGCCATAAGTTTGGACCATAGCACGGAGTGATCCTTCGATTCACATCTCTGCTGCACGAGGAGATCTCCTCATTTTGCAAAATTACCAGCAACGGTATCAGGTCAAATTCAATTATCCAGGAAGCAGCCCGTACAATGGCCCCGTGGGCAACCAGGGACGCCATGGCGCCCCTTTCCACCATATAATGGTCAGTTGTACCTACACAAACATTCTTCTTGTACGACTCGGGAAGTAAGAAAAAAAGATACCCTCGAATACACACGGTCACACCAGCATCATGGTATTGACTTCCCTCCTCCTCACGTCTCTAATCTATGGGACAGCGTGTGCTTCTGCCATTCAAAAACGATGGACCAACGGCGATTCTCCTACGAGAACGACAGACCCAAACGTAGTCAAGGATTGCTCCTACTGGGCTAACTCGATCACTTCCAGTGACACCTGCGCGAATCTAGAGAACTACTTGGGATCACCGCTGCCCAGTTGACATTCTGGGTGAGTTCTCCATGGACAGCCTATCATCTACTCGTCCATGAGATCCTAACTGCTGGACACCGTGTTTCATTTTCAGAATCCATCTCTTTCGTCCACCAACTGCGTTTTGACAGTAGGATGGAGCTATTGTGTTGAATCACCGTCAGTGCCAACCACTACCACTACGAAGGTGACAACCACAACCACCACAGTGCCACGACAACATCGACGTCTACTACCACAACTACCACTTCGACTGGTGGAGCCCCATCTCCTACGCAGAGTGGTTTGATTTCTACCTGTGACGCTTTCTACAAGGTCCAGGCAGGCGATTTCTGTTACAATATTGTCACCTCATTCGGAAACTCCACTCTCGATCAGTTCTATCAATGGAATCCGTATGTCTGCTAAAGTACTGTCATAAGTCATGAGAAAATGTTTGCTAATCATACGATCTCACCCAATCCAGTGCGGTCAAGACCGACTGCTCAGGCCTTCAGGCAGGATACTACGTCTGCGTTGGAGTCACTGGCCTGACTACGACCACGACCACTACCAGCACCACCATTGCTACCACTACGACCACCAGTGCAACCCAGACCGGCCCATCGCCCACCCAGACAGGCATCATCTCCGACTGCGTCACATACTATTAAGCCCAATCAGGCGATAGCTGCTAGTCGATTGTGACTGAGAAATACCCCTATCTGACTAGCGATGAGTTCATCTCCTGGAACCCTGCGGTGGGACCAACCTGTTCCTATCTTGATGTAGGGTACTGGTACTGCGTGGCAACCAGCACCGTCCAACCAATGCCGGGGACTATCTCCACTTGCAACAAGTACTACCAAGTTGCCAGTGGTGACAGCTGCTGGTCGATTGAGCAGGCATATAGTATCACTGCCGACCAATTTAATGCCTGGAATCCGGACGTGGGATCGAACTGTGCTCATCTCTGGTTGGGGTATTTTGTATGTGTTGGGGCGTCTTGAAGTTCGCAAATCTTGGGAGATCCGTTAAGATAAAACGATTCATTGCATGTCATCGGCCCAGAGCAGGGGCTAGCAGGACAATAATATATACCCGATCTTAGTCCGATGTTGACTCACTCCAAAGTCAGAGTTTTCGGCTCTCTTATAAGTCTGCTGCATCCTTTGGCCTTGAGTAGAGTCACCAACCGGCTTCTGGACATTGAAAGGAGACTCGTGTCTTCAAACACCACACGTAGCGGTCCACATGAGGCCCAGTCTAGAATGCATCTGCTCTCTAGGTTAACTCCCACAAGATGTTGGGAATCGGCGATGGTGGAAGAATCAGGCGGCACGTGTCGGTAAAGAATGGCAGAATCGGCGGGATCATCCTCGACCTCAGCTGATGCCGCGGCCTGAGGGTTCTCTTTGGACGCGCAACTCTCATCGCTCACTCATCCAGATGAAGCGATTCCAGGTTTGCTCCAATGCACTTGATCCCTTCTGATTTCGCCCAGTTTTCTCGTTATGGGCTGCTTCGCCGGTACGGACCGCGCCGTCGCCTTTTTCAGGCCTTGTTGATCAGTTTCGCTCTCTGGACTGTCCTAGAAGTGCTGCTCATCTATCAACGGGTCTCAACAGCGGACGCGATCAAGCCTCGTTTGCCACACCGACCGGAGCGAATATACATTACGAGCATGCACTGGAACAACGAGGAGATTCTTCGGAGTCACTGGAATGACGCAATCATTCAATTGGCTGGAACATGGGGTACGGAGAACGTTTTTGTGAGTGTCGTTGAGAGCGGAAGCTGGGATGATACAAAGGGAGCGCTTCGTGATCTTGATGTCGAGCTGGATCGACTCGGTGTGCGACGGAACATCACCCTTTCAGACACGACTCACGAGGATGAAATTTCGGTTTCTGCTTCGAGTGAAGGCTGGATAGATACCCCTCGCGGTCGCAAGGAACTCAGGCGGATACCTTACTTGGCTCGGCTTCGCAACATGACCTTGCGCCCTCTGGAGGATCTTGAACGACAAGGTATAATATTTGATAAGATTCTGTTCTTGAATGATGTGGTATTCACCGTACGTATCGGTCCTACTCAAGTTTTATTGAAGGAATGACTTCTCACCCGGTTGGACGCCTACTGCAGGTGGATGATGTTATTGAACTGCTGAACACAAACGATGGGATATACGCTGCCGCTTGCTCTCTAGACTATTCTCGACCCCCGCTCTATTATGATACTTTTGCGTTGAGGGATAGCAATGGCGATGAGCATGTTATGCAAAAGTGGCCTTATTTTCGTTCTACAATATCTCGGCATGCGCTCTTCAACATGTCCCCAGTCCCTGTGAAGAGTTGCTGGAATGGCATGGGTAAGCTCCATTTTTTGCTTCTCCCCTTCACCAGCCCTTGCTCGTAGTGTATTCATTCTTCCTTTGCTTTACTCACCCTGCTTGAACAGTGGTTATGCCCATTGAGCCCTTCATGTCGGGCACGCCGCTGCGATTTCGCGGGGTTCCCGATTCTCTAGCACTATTCCATCTGGAGGCCTCTGAATGTTGCTTGATCCACGCGGACAATCCTCTCTCAGGGCACAAGGGCGTTTACCTGAATCCTAAGGTCCGTGTTGGTTATAATGGCGCCGCATACGCAGAAGTTCATCCTGCTGGCTCCTGGCTGTCTCCACAATATATCGCCTTAGGTCTGTGGGAGAACAGATTCCGACGTTGGGCTACCACGCCTCTTTTCAAGAAGTTGGTCGTTCGACGGAGAGTCGCCCAATGGAAGGTTCTCTCTGCCGGCCGGCATGAACCCGGCGACTTCTGTTTGATTAACGAGATGCAGGTGCTCGTTGCTAATGGCTGGGCCCATGTATAGGGCCCTTATGTGGAAACATCACATTTCGATTCCATCCTTTCCTGAAGTGTGATTGAACTTCTAGTACGGTTGTTTGGCATGGGTCTGCAATGCGTGCAAGGGACACAACATGCTTTAGGCAGTACCACTCCAATTTCTGCCGTTGGAGACACCCTCGCAGAACTTGGTAGGCTATAGCCTTATGCTGCTGCCAACATTGATGTCGGCCGGTTCAAATATCGATATGACGCTACCTTCATCGTCAGTTCTGTGCAACCCGTCGTGCTCACTGGTTGCACTCAATCATCCTACAATGCTGCTGAGAAGGTCACCTTTGTTTCCTGCACTGGGACAGTGTCACTCTTGGCCGGGCGGGATTCTGCCGCAATCCGGCGCAACTCCTTCTGTTCTCTGGGTCGAGAACTTGGCGCCATGTTGACTGCTGTTTTCACAATTCCGAAAGTTTTGCCAGCAGTCCAAAATACTTACTTGCAGCATCGATAGCAGATTGACTAATGTGACGCTTCGATCTACTGGGATAGGATAAAATAGTCTCTGGGGAACCATCTGATTGTGATAAAGGCGGGTCGTTCCACGCAGATTGGCCGCACATCGCTCTCAGATTCCGGAAAAACGGGTCTATCCAATTGACCTTGAATGCCTACGTGAATGGCGTGAGCTGTTTGTTTGTATACAGGATGATAGGGAGAGTATCAGTGGATCGAGGATGTCTACGAAGGTGATTGGTCAATTGAATATTGATCAGTGAGCTGTACCTCTCCACAAGCATGATTGAGCGCATTTCTTTGAATGAACTTAAATACTTAGTGCTGAGCTAATTCGGATCTGCGACTGGAGGTATTTCCCTAGGCAACTAACAACAAGGTGCAACCATAAATATACAGCTGTGACTAATGATAAGGATGTCTATTTGAGCCTATGATCTAATTTCTTCGCCAACACTGCAATGGATACAATTGAGACTCGGTAACCTTACTGATTACTACGCGTGTGCGGCGTTCTCCTATGGGCTAGACTGATATTAGATAAGATTGCCTAGAGTACAGTCGAAACAGAAGTTAATCAACCTCTCAAAACGATGCATGCCTACAGGTTACCCTGACCAGCAGAAGAGGCAGGAGAAGTGCTAGCCGCATCCGCGGAGGCAACAGTCTCGCCCTTGAACTTGGACAGCACATTGGTAGTCGACCCGGAGAGAGTCCCGGAGCTGGAGAACTTGTTGGCGACACAGTCACGGCCGATGTAGGACTCGCAGGTGGACGAGGCGCTCGAGGAAGCAAACAGCTCGCCCTCGAAGGAGGAGGACTCGACGGCGGCGGTGACGTCGGAGAAGAGGTTCCCCTCGGCGAGGACGTAGGCGCCGGAGCCGATCTCGAAGGCGTGGCCGGAGTTGTCGTACCAGTAGTTGTTGACGGCGTGCAGGTAGGTGTTGTCCTGCACCTTGGGGGCGCGGCCGCTGGTCTTGTAGAAGTAGTTGCCCTTCATGGTGACCTTGTCGCTGGAGCCGTCCAGGTAGACGTTCCAGTAGTGGCGGCCGTCGCAGGTGGCCGAGTAGTCGGACTCGCCGTCGATGTAGTTGTTGGAGAGGGTGACGCGGTTGCTGGCTTCGGTGCCGAGGACGTAGTGTTGGCGGCCGATCCGAGCGGTCTATTCACTTAGTTTCGATCTCTCTGTAGATATGAGGCAGGACGTACAGTCACATGGTCGACCCAGACGAGGTCGGCCTGGTCGATGGTGATGGCGTCCCCTCCCCAGACGTACTCGGGGTTGATGTCAGTGACGGCAATGTTCCTGCCAGAGTCAGCAGAGCCCTTCGCCCTTATCTTCTGTGCACTGACTGAATGATGATGTTCTCAGCACCGCTGACGATACGGAGACCCTTGCCCTTGATGACACCGGAGGTGCCCTCACCGATGAGGGACTTGTTGGAGTTGACAGTGATGCCGAGCGAGCCTGCATTGTCACTAGATTGTGTGAGAACCTTCTTTTTTGTTTCAGGTGGAAGCAACGTACTAGGTCACCGAAACAGAAGCAGCATCAGGCTCGTAGTTGGTGCACCAGTCGTCCTTGTTGATAGCCAGCTGGCAGCCAGAGGCAGTACCCCAGGGAGCGCAACCAGTGGCGGTGGTGGTACCCTCGGTCCCACGGAAGTCAAAGGTCTTGGTGAGCACAATCACACGGGCCTCATCATCACCGAGGTACGAGACCAGCTCGTCGGTGGTGGAAGGGTAGACGGCAGTAGCACTGCCACCGCCGGTCACAGCGTAGGCGAAACCCTCGGCGGTGCCTTGGACGCTGACCGCAATGGCCTGGGAAACCAGCGCTCCAACGGTGGTAAGAAAAGCAGCGTACTTCATCCTGGAAGTATAGGCAAGAAAGGAATGACGGCTTAAATGAAGGAAAGGGGAAAGAATGACAAGGTGAGATGTGCTGGGAATGAGAATTCAAGCCATGGGTCGCTGATCGCTGGTTTTATATAGTTGGTTCCCAACCCCTGACAGACGACCATCTCAAACAGCATCTTGTTTTGGTCTGTCAGAAATTCTCCGGCGAGTGGAGACGCAGACTACTCATTGAACGCCAGATCCACCAGTCAACTGAATCAGCGATGGAAAGGATGAATGGCTATACAAGGTGATTCGGATGTCGATCTCTCCACAGTCTTCATACTATGATAGGTGTCGGCAAGTGATCCGTTATCTCTGAGAGAACAGCTCCACCGCGTGCGGCCGGAATAATGTCGGTAGACTCATCAGGTTGGCTGCTTCAGTTGGTGAGTTTCAGGTATATCATCGTTGTTGATGATGTGGAGGAGGTCATCACAGAAGAAACACCGAATGACGCGGCCTATCCTGCGATGACGAATAAGGGGATAAGCTTAAAGCAATTTATTTCGGAAATGTACCGAATTGCTATCGATCTAATATACTTCCAGTACAATATGAATTGATTATCGCTGTTTAATAATAGGGACAACAACAAGATTATAGACATCGTGCCATCATGGCGTTCTGTTGAGCTCTCCATCTGCAGCCTGAAACAAGCTATACAGGATTACGTAGGCACTGACGAGTCAAGGAGTGAAGACATGATGTATCTGCGAGAAATGATTGACCTTTCTCATTGATTCTACGGGGTATCAGTCTAGTAACTGTAACTGTTCAACAATCAAGCATCATGGCTGGCTAGGCACGCTCTTCTGGCTGGCCGCTTAATTTAAGCTTAATCTATTCTCTTAGGTCCATGACAATGCGGCAAGTATCCGCATTGGATTATGGACAAATATTTGAGTGTAGGGTGGAGGCATTTATGGCGTTGTGTTGCTGAGATGTGGATACATATTTCCCGCCCTCCAAATCAACTTATTTATCCGTCAAAATAAGGGGAGAAGACTGAGAAGAGAGGGAATAGGATCACTAATTTCCTTCTAACTCGCTACTTACGAGAAAGAAGATTCGAGCCATTCTGATCGTACCGTATTGACATGATATCAGAGTGATCGATCTATGCAGTTTCTGGTCCCTAGAGCACAAGTGCATCACGCTCTGCGTAAGCGAAGCGTGGACAGATGCCGGGATAGGCAATTCAGGAATTGGAGCGAACTACAGAGGTGCAGAGCAAGGGATGAGTTACAGAGTTATGCATCCTTATATCAACAGGGCAAATATAGCCATATAGCCCATGCTAGCCTCTGTCATTCCCACTGGTCGATGGATATCTTCTCTATGCCAACAGCATGACCTTGAAGGCTGAATTGAGGCGCAGCATTGGCTTATTCTCTCTCACCTGCAGATCAACATGCTTGTCGCTCAGTCCCGTCTCAGCCTCGTCTTAGCCTGAAAAGCCCAGCGACCATCTCCCATCGCACCCTCAAAACCACCCACCGGGTGAGCTTGAATGCAGCTTTCGAAGAAAGCATACAAGTCATGGCGGAAACCATCGGCCTCATAGCGTCCCTCGTTTCCATCGCTGGTGCGGGGCTCACGCTCGCCCAAAAGCTACACGATTACGGCGATGGCGTTGCGTCGAGCGGTAAACGGACCCAAGAGATAGCCTTTCATGTTCGCTCCACGGCAACGGTCGTCGAAGAAGTAGCGAGTATTTTCAAAGAAGAAGGATCCGCTAGGCGGAATCTCATCTCTCAAAAGGCGGTTGAGACCGTTGAAGATGTGGTAAAACAGTGTTCGGCGCTATTCGACCAGCTTCATCAGGTGCTGGACAACACGGGGAATGGAGGTGGGCTGGGGAAGTTGTTGTTTCCACTGCGCGAGTCGAGATTAGTGCTGTTGCAGAGTAATCTCGAGAGATTGAAGACGACACTGCAGTGTTTTATGCAGGTCATCATCTATGCGCGGTTAAAGGCAGAGAAAAAGGAGACATATAGCTTCTGACACGGGGGAATTTATGCTAATTGTTGTTACAGTGATGACGACCAGAGCCAACGAAGGCTCATCGAGGAGCTTATTTCCCTGCGAAAACAAGCAGCTGCGACGTACGAGCGGGATAAGATCAAGGCTCAAGACGAGGATGAGCGCGAGCCTTCAGGGTAAGATCGGCCTCCTGATTCATCTGCGTGAGGCTGAGAAGTGGCAGTCCATTCCTGCCGAATTGCATCACAATTCCTTCTGAACCGCAACTGTCAGCAGGGGAACCAACAGAGGACAAAGAAGCTCCTGCATCAATCGCAGCAAACGCCAACCACCTCGACCCGTCGTCCGTTCGGCGCCATCAAGGCAGCATTTGTTCAGAACAAATAGAAGACACAAATGATGGTGCTAGATCTCAGACGGAAAAGAGAGTCAGGCCCGAGTCACTTGCGACTTCATCAGAGGATCCCACAAGAGCCACAGAACCAGTCCAGGATCACGCTAGGACTGGTCTCGACGGAGAATCCCCTGAGCTCGCTCGAGCCTGGGATGACCTCGTCCATGCCATTGATCAGCTAGGGCACGCTTTAGCTGTGACCTGTTGTTGCTGCCGCGCGAAGCGCAAGAGTGAAACGGCATTTTTACCGCCCCCCAGCATCGTTCCTCCTCAGTATTGCGACTACTACAGAACTCATGAGAGTCTGGAGTCTTGGACAGGCTCTACACCACGGTCTGCGGCCAGTAGTTCAATACACCGCGAAGCACTGCCAAATCTGGAAGAGGCAACGTATGCGGCATCGGACGAGGTTGATGAGCTATTGGACCTGTGGACGAATCTCAACCAGGAGTCCTCCGGCACCACCGCTGAGAAGATTGAAGAATGATTGGCCATGATTCGGAGCCCTAAGTAGGTATCTTGACGTTTCTGTGGCGTAAGAATTAACATTAGTTTCTCGTATCTGCGTCGTTACTCAGAGTATGGAATTGAATTCTGTATTGCGGTCGAGGGATTAACCCAAGAGCCATTCAAAATAGGCATAAGCCTTCACTGATGTGACTCAGGCTGCATGAAGATGATGCTATACCTGAGTCCCACTGCAACGAGCGTGCAAAAAGATGGCTCGTTGAGGTGCGGCATTTTCGATAGATCGAGAGAACTGTGAAGTCTCCACAAGCTGAGGAGGGAATGTCCCGTCCCCCATACATGACAGGTGGTACAACTAGCCTGTGCTTATTTATGGTAGAGAAGAGAGGCATTCTATGAAGTTGTCGGTCAAGGCCCTCACTAGGAACTGATTCCTCCGCCGAGAAATCCCAATACGACTTCATTCCATGCATCATTGTTAGGCCTTGGCGAGGAAGAGGCAAGTGGTAGAATACGAGCAGTATTCCCCTTCTCATCCACCTTCAATGACTTCATTCCATGCAATCGCGATATGCCTCCCAATCGAGTAGCCCAACTGCTTCACAATATACCGCCAAGACAGACCCCAGACAGGAACCCGAGCGCAGATGCGAGTGGGTGGCCTTGGCTCCCTTGGCACGGGCACAAACACAGCCTCCGGGGCTTTTTATAGATAGCCTGGAATGGCTTGGCAGCAGGTAGTGAGGATGCCAAGTCCAATACGAGGGACGGAGGACATGCCTCTGCAGGCCAAGCTTACTCTTCCACTAGCATCTAGCATGATTCCGCTACTGAAGGTGATATCGGCATTCGAAGACAACACGAGGTTACATCGTACTCTGCTCGCTTGTCGTCGGCTTCATTTGAGGGACGTCGAGCTAGTAATAGCATGGAGGAATACGAGATTGTCTTCGTGATGACGGTGAACATTTTGATTGAGGAAGGCTTTGTATGAGGGATCAAAGGTATATAAACGACTTGACATCCACGAGGAATGAGAGAATCAACAAGCAGATCAGCAGAACAAGCAAAGCAAGCATACACAGCTACACCTCCAAAATGAAGTTCCTCATCATCCTCAATGCCCTCATGGTGGCCCTCTGCAGCCACCTTGCTATCGCCTCTACTATTGGGCACCCCTCTCTGATGCCCCGCGAAGATGCCGAGACCAACAACGGCACTGTCGCAACCCCCTACGGTAATGTAGTGAGCTCCATCCTCGAAGATGGCAAGCAGAAGATCGAGTTCTTCAATGTCGATGGCACGCTCGAAGTTACCGCCATCGAAACCGCTGAAGGAGGTACGTCCCCCTTTGCCTCCCTCGACCAGCCTGCAGACGCAAACTAATAGACACAGGTGCAACATTCTACGACGCCGAAGGCAAGGAAGTCAGCCTCGAGGACCTGGATGACGACGACGAGGACCTAGAGAAGCGCGTGTCGAAGTGGAGGCTCGCGATCAAGTTTGCGAAGCTGATTGCCAAGTATGGCAAGCGGGCTTGGTCGTACATCTACTGCGTTGGTACTACCCCGTTCTGGAAGTGTGGTGATGAGGTGAGTTTCTTTCTGTCTGAACAGTGAGGAAGTTGGTGGCTGATGAGATAGTTCCTTGACTGTGCTTCTGCTGGCCGCGCTCCGTGGAATTGCTACGAGGGAGCTATCTGTGTTGGATGGAGCATTCACAAGCACTGCAAGTAGTCAGGTGCATGTCACATATCGTCCAGTATGGAGCTGAACGTTGGCTCGGACTGTTAACAAGAGGGTGATCGTTTGGCGGATAGATGAGCTAGTTGATTTTTGAAATGCTATTTGTTTCTGCCTATGCTTCTTCTCGAACACCCCGCAATAATCACCATCACGGTAGCACTAGGGCATGCGGGGGAATGTCGGGGGGTCATTCACCCGAGACCAGCAAGTCTAATAAATCTTCTAAGCCCCATCTTGGAATGCCTTCAATCTCCAGTATTTGCATAGACAACATGCTCTCTCCCCAAGAACAAAAGGTACCTCCCCTCCCAATCCAACAACCCAATACTAAGTATGCAGACCATAAACTCCCTCCAATCCAACTGGATCTGGGCCCCAAACTGGATCGATTCCTCCCCGGCCAACACAGCCGGTAGAATCGTTCGGTTCACCCATCACATATCTCTCTCGTCACCCGCTACACGAGCGCTAGTCCATTGCTCGGCGGATACACGCTACAAGCTATATGTCAATGGTGTCCGGGCGGCAGTTGGACCCGCCCGCGGCAGCCCTCTGATCTGGTACTATGACACGGTGGATATCACGCCGTATCTGCGCTCGGGAAACAATGAGATTGTCTTTGTTGTGTTGCGGTATTTCAATGCGTCCAGGGGTGCGATGCCCTTTGAGCGGACGGCCTTTCCGGGGTTGACGGTTGTTGGGATGATCAAGACGGAGAGGGAGACTGTGGATGTGCAGTCGAGGGAAGGGTGGTTGGTGCAGGTGGATGAGAGTGTCCAGTTCCCAATGGGCCTTGTTGACGATGTTTTTTTGCATGTAGGTGTCTTCTACAGGGGGGTGGAAGAGGCTAATCCGGGTAGATTAATGAGCGGATCAGTCCGACTGTGTTGCCGGAGCCGGTTACCCCGATGGTGTACGGGATACGGACGTTGAATGGGGATCTGTCTCCATGGCGTCTACGGCCTCGTCAGATTCCCATGCCCGAGGAGAGTTCTGTGGCTGTTGATCTTGTCCAAAAGTGCCAGAGTGTCAACCATATCGACGAGTGGACGGGGTTTCTGCAAGCTAAGCAGACACTCTCACTGCCGGCCAGTTCCTCGCATGAACTCGAAATCCAGGCGGAAGTCCATTCGACCGCGTTTCTACGGTGGTCCTTCCGGGCCGTGCAGGCGTCTCGCATAACCCTCAAGGTCACCTATTCGGAGGGATACGAGCAAGAACCACGGTCCTATCCATTCTTCCGGACAAAGACTGATCGACTGGACGCGGTAAATGGACGCCTCATTGGGCCGTATGACGAAGTGACCTTTGAGCTACCAGCCGGAAAGACGATCGTCTATGAGCCGTTCTGGTTTCGCACGTTTAGACTGCTCCGGCTTGAGATCGCCAGTGGGCCTGCAGCGGTTGAGCTCCTGTCGTTCGAGGCTACCCAGGTCAATTATCCAATGGCAGTCAAGGCTAGCTGGCAGGAAGATGGGGACGAGTACAGCGAGAGGATCTGGGAGGTCTCCGTCCGCACGATGCGCAACTGCATGTTCGACGGGTACTCCGACTGTCCGTTCTACGAGCAGCTCCAGTAAGCCACTACCTGCAAACAGGGAATCTAACTGATATCCCCAGATACTCTGGCGACAGCCGCTCCGTCGGTCTGTTCCACTACCTCCTCTCCGGCGACGACCGTCTCATGCGGCAGGCCATCACCAACTTCGCCGCCTCGGTGACACCAGAAGGCCTCACCCAGTCCCGATTCCCATCCCACGTCCCGCAGATCATCGCCGGGTTCTCACTCTACTGGATCCTCCAAGTCTGCGACCACCACCTCTCCTTCGGCGACACAGCCTACGCCCGCTCCTTCCTCCCCCGCATCGACGGCGTCCTCGAGTTCTTCCACGCCCACATCGACACCCTCGGCCTGGTCAGCAACCTCCCGGAAGACGCATGGCAATACGTCGACTGGGTGACAACCTGGGGCGCAACAGACACCCACCCAGACAAAGGCGTCCCCGTCTCCGGCCGCCAGTCAAACAGACACACCTTCTTCAGCCTCCTCTACGGCCACGTCCTCAAACAAGCCGCGCAGCTTCTCCACGCCGTCGGAAGACCCGCCCACGCAGACGAGTACACCGCGCGCGCGGGGGCCGTCCTCGCCGCCGCCCGCGAGCACTGCTACGACGGGCGCTTCTTCACCGATTCCACGGCGGATATCGCAGATGCGCGCGCCTACTCGCAGCACTGCCAGGTGTTCGCTGTGCTCTCTGGCGCCGTGCCGGACGGCGACCGAGCGCGTCTGCTGGCGGAGAGTTTTGCGGAGGCCGCGTTCGCACGGTGCTCGTATGTGATGCGGTTTTATGCGCTGCGGGCGTTCTCGCTGGCGGGGGATGAGGCGTATGAGGCGTATTGGGCGAGGGTGTGGGAGCCCTGGCGGCGGATGCTCGAGTGTAATCTGACCACCTGGGAGGAGGATGATGTGCGGCAGCGCTCGGATTGCCATGCTTGGGGGAGTGTCCCGGTCTACGAGTATTGCACCGAGTTGGCGGGGGTGAGGATCGTTGCGCCTGGGGCGAGGAGGGTGCTGTTCAAGCCAAGGTTGAGGTTGAGTAAGGGCATCTCGGCGAGGGTGGCAGTTGGTAGGGACAATGTGGCGACGGTGAGGTGGGAGACCGTGGATGGCGAGAAGAGGGTGGAGCTGAGCTTTCAGAAAGCTGTGGATGTGGTTTCTCAGATGCCGGGGGAGGAGAGTGTCGAGCATGGAGTGGTGCAGTTTCTTTTCTTCACTTGGACAGACTATTAGGGTTCTTATGTTAAGGGTACGCACTGGCTGCGATCCTCCTACTCGGGCCAAAAACCACTATTCAAATCATGCCCAGCCACCATAGTAGAGTATTCTTCCCTTATATGCACACATAGTCCAGATTCTAGACCATCAGCCATGTAGAAAGGCCATATGAGAAAATCATATTGCCTCAATGGCAGCATGTGAACAGCTTGTGACGATGGTATATAGACCATAATGGGTTGGAAGTGACAAGAACAGATACAGGATGGCCACTGACCATGGACGATTTACCGACTCGAAAGAGAAACATCTAGCTCGTAATGCGTGAACACCCCCGAGTCCACAGGCACGCCACTCCGCAGATCCCACCTATAGATGAATGGCCACAACTTTGGCCGGCTCAATGAGCGTACCCAGGATGGGTGAAAACTGTCCCCCGCTGGTTGTGATATAAAGGACTGATCCATCTTGATTGCTGGCAACCGCCGTGGATCCGCCAACAGCGATGGTGAACTGATTTCCAGCCACCAACTTCACCCTACCTTTCGGGTCAACCTTCACCAGTCCGTTGTCCGGGTTTGTCGTGATGTACGCTGTCCCATCGCTCCCGAGCATAAAGTCATCGGGAGTAATGCCACTGGTGATGACCTCAACGGGGCCCGTCGCGGAGGCCATGCTATTCACAGGGACTCTACAGAACAACATCTGTGTGGTACTCGTGTAATAGACATACTTCCCGCGCACGTCGATGCCATTCACACCGACAGCGTATGGCTGGCCCGCAGCGGGGAGCATCGAGGGATCAGACAGTGCCTGGGAGTATTGACCCGTGCTCATATCCAGACGCCAGATGACGCCCTTGGCGGAGTCTGTGATGAGAAGCGTGTTCTGGCCGAACCGCACAATGCCATTCAGGAACTCGGCTTCGGGGATTCGTGCCAGAACACTTGCTGATGGTCGAGCGCTACCGGAGGCATCGAGTCTCCAGACCACGTATGAACCGAGGGTGCTTGCGACGCTGGCAATGGAGAAATTGCCTGCTACCACTGCATAGACGTCTCGGTTAATTTCCGTGATACCCAGCAGACTAGTGGCATTGGCAAAGCTGTAAAACAGGGACCCCGCTTCCGCAGCGTTGGGGTTGGCTGGGTCAATCAGCCACAGTTCGGGAGCATCAAGGCGTGTGACAAGGAGTTTCCCGTTAGGTCGGACTGCAATATTTTCGAGCCATGTCCCGTTGTGATTGAACTGGAAGACAGTCGATATAGAGGAGGCGTTGGTTGTTCCTGAAGACGTAGGCAATGTCAGTGCCGGGGCGATTATCGTCGTGATCAGGGCATAGACCCAGATAATTGTTTGACTGGAATACATAGTGAAGTAAGGCTGGTAAGGCTCTCTGTGCACAGTAGAGGAAGCATGAGAAAAGCTTCACGGCATGGATAAGAGTCAATTTTTACAGCTTTATTTATACTGAGACTTCAGCTTCCCAGGCCCAAGACTTCGCATTCTTCGTGGCATGCCAAGTGAAACAAGAGCTGAAGCTGACACCTGTCTTTCCACATTCTTTGTCAGTATGAACTGCACTTACTGAATGTATACTTACCAATAAGAAGTGTTGGATCCGAATCATGTTCTTCCATAATCATTGCTAGTTTATTATATAATGAGCCCTAATCATTACCTAAATTCCCAACCGAGCTGTCACTCCCAGCAAATCCAACGCGTCCTACAGCTTGAAGCTATTCAAACAGCAACATGCAACCAAAGCGCGTCAGATCTCAAGAAATGGCGGCGCAAGTGGGAAGGGTTCAAGAAGGGTTTAACTGCAATATCTGCCTCGAAAACCTTCCATGATAAAGACTGCGAAGGACTCAACGCACGAAAACAAAGAGGGCACAACCAACGAGGCCCCGCAGTGCACAAGGTTACTCAATCCTGCAAATTCAAGCTGCTCTTGTAGGAGTGAGTGTCTTACTTTGGCGGGCATTTGAATGAGTTGGATCTAGCAGCCCAGCCATGAACCAGAATCTTCAGTTTGCAAACTCAGGAGAACTTCTGAGTCTTCTGAGTCTTCTCTACATCCAAGGTGCTGGTGTGTCTCCGTCCGTATGTAGTTCTTGTTCCAGCTTATCCAGCTCCAATACCTCATATTCAAGCTCTCTTCCTTCTCCCCCAGGACATTGGTCGACCCCGGTGATAGACATAAGTCTAAAGTTTTCATCTTATCCAAGTTCACCTCCTATTCAAAGGAGTATATGTGCTTACTGTATCAGACGTCAAAAGGTTTATTCATTCGATGTCTCCCTATAAAGGCAGACTGAGGAGCTATGAAGAGCCTCCGTCTCGTTACAGTGACTGCTCTTGAGGCATACCATCCGAGACAACCAATCTTTGCAGGGATCTCTCTCAACGAAACAATTGTTCTTCATCTGAAAATCAAGTCTGCTAGTCCAGCTTTCCAAGTACATTCCCCTTTCGGGTATACCAAGTCCTTAAAGCATCCCAGCTCCTACATGTATGCACCATAGGAGTCAATCAAGCGTTATAAGAGAGCCGTGACCTCGTGGAATAGAAGCTGAAACTGCTCATGGTGGAATGTGTACTAATGAATGAGCCTGGATGCTTTATGCCGATGTTGTACCACGTAGAGAATGAGATAGTCCTCGGAGTTTTAGCTCACTCAAGCAATGTAACAACACCACGTCCTCCTTCTCACCACCAGAATACTCATTATGAATCACAGATAAGAGGTACCGTAGAAGCTACCTATGAATGAGAAGGAATGGCCATACACCGTGCCATGATCACTTGTCTTTGAAATGACACAAATGGCCAGCTGAAAATTGCCATCGTAATATCATTCCAACAATGTTTTCAGTCTGCTTTGGCTTTTCCCGGCTCGCCCGTATCATCCAGGTCTCCCGCTAAGCCTCGCAAACCAGTCAAAGCTTCCGTCATGTTCTTTCCGTTCCGGCCCAGTTCGTTGAGCAGCCAGACTAGATGGGGGGTCTTCTCGATCGGCCCTTCCTTCACCTTGACAAGCATTGAGAGTGGCCTGGGTGCCGCCACCGATCTCTCCTCCACTACATAGAGGCGCGACTCAGCTAATGACGTTGGACCAGCCGAAGCTGGAAAGTCTTTCTCCCGCGGTTGGTCTTGCATGTCAGCAACCCTGTAAACAATCGTCATCTTGAGACCCAGGGGCATTTCCTCCTCATAGACTATCCCCTCGGCTGTCGTGCTCATTGTCGCTCTAGTGCTAGCAGCTGATGAGCTGATTACAAGCTCAGTTGTACCGCGCTTTTCCAGAACCACTTCGGTCTCTGACCACGGCCAGAATGTATTTGCGAGCAAGGTGTGGTTATGTAGAACGTCGAGAACATCTATCGTGTTGAGCGCCTCTGGAATGGGATAATACTCCTTCCTTGCAGATTCTCTCGTGTAGAGGACTTTTTGTGTTAGCCGAGTGGGAAATGACCAGACGGGAAGGGAAGGGGGCACCTTTCCTGCTGGGGCCATGGGACTGGAGCTTACAGGAAGACATATTGACAGGATGCAGTGAATTTGTTGTCGAGTCAGGATGTGAGTGTCTCGATTGAGGGTGAAGCGGGGTTTGGCATTGCTTGTTTAATGAGCATTGATGACAGTTGTAACCTTATATCGTCATGGTCCACACCACCCATTGCTCGGGCAATCCAAGTGCTTCTTGGCAATATCTGGTTATCCAGTGAGACTGAAGATCCCCAATAGGTGAATGCAGTATACCCCACTGAGGCGCAAAGTGAGACATAAGCAATTAGTGAAAGGCTACTTGACAGCACAGTGGTTCCGCAATGAGAATGATCGAAAAGAGCAAGTCTAGCGAGTAAGAAAACCCTCGACTTCTGCATGCTGTATAGCGTCCTGCAAGGTAGTATATACCTCGATATAAGCTGGTTCTGACCGGAAATCTAGGGTTCACAAGGGTATATTAAGATTGCGGGTCGGATGTGGAGAGGGGAGGGTGGATCAGTACCTTCGGTTAATAAATGCTCCAGAAATGTGTTCAGCACGAGCATGAAAGAACGCCATAGGATTGAAGGGAAAATAAGTCGCCTAATATGAGAGCCAAGTAACAGCTGGGCTTGCAGGCGTTTGCATATCAGATAGTCTCCTGCAACTCCCATGCCCTGTTTTTCGAGGAAAGTGACTGGTGAAAGTTTATTAACCATGACTCGATATTGTTGCTCTCTGTACATTGGCTATTCCTCGTGCTCCAGGTTACAGTGCCCGCTTCTACTCACAGGATTCGTTCCATCTATGCGGTTACAAAGCATCCGAAGGCCAGAGAGGGCCCCTCAGCCTCTTCGACAAGAGCGTAAGGCCTATTCCGTGCTGGAATCCCAGTCTGGTAGGTTTCCTCATTTCACTGACCAGTAGCAGTGGGTAGTCAAATGAAGTCTGGTGGTCCTCGATGCATGCTGCAGTGCTATCACAGCTAGATTCATGCAAGCCTAGTATAGCTTGGCCGGATTGTGAGGCATTTCCGGACTTCCTCTATTCAATTGGCAGGAAGCATGGCGAGATGCAGACTGTTTTCCAAGACGGATGAGCTCATTCCTCCCCAGCAGCGCAATCGTCATACTTGAATCCCAATCGGCAATGCCAGAAGCACGGAGGGTCAAATCCCAGTTGAGACTCCTGCCCATTGAGGGGAGTACTCACTGTCAGCCGAATGATGAGCTCCCTGGCAGCAGACTTGAATTTGAATATAAATGTGAGCGAATGTCCCTTTGAACGGTCACTTCTTCTCTTATTCTTTCAGCAGAAACTGTCAGTTTCATTCGCTTCCAAAGAGTCTTCTACCGTCAACAGTTTTATTACCCAATGACGTTCAACATGGCTGAAAAGTCCGACAGTCCTTGCCTCCGAGATATAGTTCAAGAGGAGGACTACAATGCCACGCGGTATCCCCGTGATCGCAGCAATCGCTACCTCAAACAGTCTCTCAGAATGCTGCTGATCCTCACGATCCTTTTCGTCGTGATGACCATCGGATTCGTGCATCTGACTATACAGCTGGGTCGTGAGCGTGACCTGGTTCTCCACCTCGAGCAACAAATCCATACATACGAGAACCACGGCAACGCCATCAGCAAGCGTGCCATCCCCTGGTTCCTCGGCGCAGCGTTCTGGGTCACCAACCAGGTGTTTGCATTCTATGGGCTGGCGACGAGCTGCAAGTCCTTCACGGACAGTGCCAGAAACGCCGCACTGTGCATCTGGGGGGCTATCTCGACAGCGGCCACATTCATTGGAGCCGCCGCCCACGGAGCTTCCACAGTCAAGCAAATCCACAATCGTCTGGCCCAAAATGGGATTTCCATTGGAAATTGGAAGAGAGACGAGATCGTCACCGAGGCAGAAGCTCGGATGAGTGAATTGCTCCAGCTCCCTGTGAGCCTGGACGGATTCGTTCCTCATCACCACCCGAAGTTGGCCCGGATGAAATTAGCAGAGGGGACCATGTGGCCTGTGTTCCACTTCTACAATCACCACCAGACCGGCATGCATTTTACTCTGACTGCCTATGAAGAGGATCACGCAGTCATGACCCTTGGATTCGGGCACAAGAGCGACAACAGCAGTATTGCCAAGCGTGAATCGTACAATGATGAGTATTTCTCCAATGGCGGAATTGACTTTACGGATTGCTTCAATGATGCGCAGAGTACGTACCTGCTCAATACTGCGTCCGACTACCAGCAGATGGACAGGGATATCGAATGCTACTTTCCGGATTTGCAGAACACCTGGGGGGCGGAAATCCAGATCTATGACTCCAACGTGAGGACGACCATTGGGTCCGGATCCATTGCGGCTTACAGGGGTGGTGATCATGCTAGCAGCATCAGTGTGATGCCGGGCTATCCGGCGGGTATTTCCAGCTCGATTCAATGTGAGAGGGCATAAACACTTGGTCAATTGGTAAATGATCCGGTGAGAGGACGAAGTTTGCTTGGGTGCGATGGTATATAGGACAGGAATATTATATGATGCAACAATTCAGATGTGACTATAGACTATATAGTCTGGAGCATCATGGTCGATCGGAAAGAGGCTATTCAGATGAGTGATAGGATCATGTGTCCTTTTAGCCTCCAGCTGTGTGCTTTAAATATTGTTCAACAACTACCGATAAATATCAACCAAAAGCTATTAACAGTCAAGATAGAATGACTCCCTCCGGCTGCCCCGATTGCACTCTTTTCCAGTTCCTCACACTCTGGCTCCTCAGCACAGGCCCATTCTGAATCTTCCTGATCATCATCTTCCTCTGGATAGACCGAGTCATCACCTTTTTCAAAACCGACCAAGACGAATATGACTATACCAGGTGGCTTGAGCCTCATATCCAAACCCAATCACACATGATCTCCTTCCTCATTATGCATCTGTTCCTCTAGTAGCACTTTAGGAAATACAGCTTGCTAATTATAACTAGAACTTTCTCTAAATGAGGTTGTCTAAGATTAAATTTTTTCTACTACACTGCTTAGCTGGTTTACAGCCACACAAGCACTTTGATTGTCTCAGTTAATTCGGATTCCTTGCATTGATACACCGTGGTACAGGGGCAAAATGCTCTTAGTGAAGAGTGGGTGTTACATGATCAGTTTTTGATGCTTCCTTACTATTTTCATGTTTACATGTTTGCCAGCTAGATGTAGGCTCTGATTTCAAGTGAATGGAGCCCAACGCGGAAAATCATTAGGAAGAGATGCAAAGAGATGATATCCATCAGCTTTCGAAACCCTAATCCTGATTGATATCATGGTGTAGACGTCCATGTCTCCGTCCAAGTGAAGAAAGTTCCGAATTCCTTTGGAGTTTTGAATGATTGGTTTGCTCTAATGTTACTTCAATCTAATTATATGTGACATTCCATAGTTCGTGCATCAAATCTTAAAGGCTCTAGTAAATAGCAGGGTCCTTCAGAACAGTCTTTCAAAAGATCAGGGGTATGTTATTATCAAAATGTGAGACAAGATGTCCAGTCTGTTAGTTTCCGCTCCTCTTTTTCTTTCATCTTTTTTTTGCACGAGGTCGTCTATCTCTTGCCTCTCTTCACAAGTCAGCAATTGGAGACGATCGTCGAGATTCCCATCGCCGAAGAATCTTCTGTCAATCTTCGCCCAATATATCATGTCGAAAGCCCAACTTCTCCTTGCGGCATAGTTAACCCAGTAATCCCCACTCTCCCAGCTGTCCCTCATGTATGGAGAGAGACGGTGTTCTTGAACAGTTCTGGGGCAAGGTACTAGGCAACAGATCCCTTTAAATAGGAACATTCAAGGAACCCTGGCTAATATTGGCTGGTTATGACCCACCTGCATAAGCTATTAAACTCATTCGATTATGCTCAACTGTATGTCCCACTTGACTCCGTAGTGGAGCGCTAAAGAAGCCTCGGAGAGCCTGATTTACTGGTCCAGGAGCTATTCCTAACGACTCTATTCTAAATGATCTAGCTAAATGACTTGCGCTACCAGAGTCCTCGTTGCTAGTGATATGGCTTCAAAATTAGGGGTTCAGTTGGAAATAGTGAGAAACCGACAAGTGCAAGAACGCTTTGTTCCACTGCGCATAGGGGTCCTCCGTTGTCTTTTAATTGCAGTGCCATTATATCTTCGCATGATGTTGGCGAGCGCAAATGTGGAACAAAATAGAGGAAGCAGTTCATAGTTCCGGTCCTTCTGGAACATGAATGACTATGCGTTTCAGAACACTCCGAGTACCATATGAGTCTGATGTAATTTGGAAGGCAGACCAGCTTCAAGGAGTCTCCCTCGGTCATAACCTGAGTGGAAAGTCAATATGACGGAAACAGTACTTTGTGGTTACGTCAGTGTGGCCAATTCATATGGTCTTGATATTGGGTTTGTATCCGTGACTGCACATAGATTCTCCCAAATAAAGTTCAGAAAATTCATAAATCTCCCAGCAACAGGTCAGTTGATGGATATGCAATAAGTGCTCCAACATGCATTACCCCTTCGATCAAGGTGAACAGCAAGCATGGACCCAGGTGGGACAGCTGCTGGTGGCCACGGCACTGTCTTCAATTATCGGACTTGAACGGGAATGGAAGCACAAAAGCGCCGGCTTGCGTACGAATACACTGGTCGGGCTAGGCGCTGCCCTGTTCATGTTGATATCGAAACTGGGAACATTTGACGTTCTAGATCGCTCTCTGGTGGTGCTTGATCCAAGTCGGATCGCCGCCCAGATCGTGTCCGGGATTGGCTTCATCGGTGGAGGGATCATTTTCAAACAGCGCAACGAGATCCGAGGACTGACTACTGCAGCCGGAATTTGGCTGAGTGCAGCGGTTGGGGCTGCCTGTGGTGCCGGACTGCTCAGATTAGCAAGCGTTTCCACCGGCTTGTACTTTGTCGCTGTGCTTGTCTATCCAACTCTGCTGCATTTCGTGCGGCGATACCTCGACCGGAAAGATACCAGAGAGATCCCTGCTGTGATCCGCTATCGGACCGGAGCTGATGGGTTGCAGACCCTGCTCCTAACCGTGATGGAAGCGGGTTTCCGCGTCCGGGCGATAACCCGGCTGGAAGAGGTACTTATGAATCAATCTTCGGCCGAAGCACCAGGGGCAGATAATACATACCCGTCGATTTCAAATATCCCGAGGACACCAAAAGCACCTGCGGCACATATTGAAAGGATCAACCGAATCTTTGACGTCCATCTTACATTAGATGGCTCTGGCGGTGCAGATCGTTTGATGCATGCTCTATCCCAACTGGACACTGTTATTTCAGTTTCCATTGATGATGATGAAGGAGAATTCGTCCAGGGAGTGTGACAGTCAAAGTGACTATGATGACTTGCCTTTCTTCAAGCCGTGCTCTTAAACATATCAACACTCGGTTATACGGGGGTCTGATCCGTTGGTATTTGCCACGGCGTCACCCAATGGCGACAGATAAAACCCCCGTACTTCTGCATCTAAAATAAGGGCGGATGGAAGGCGAAGTTTGGAAAAGGAGTGGTACTCCAAAGTTCTGAGCGTCCTAGCAGGTCGCAGGTATTCGGCTGTCTCTTACATTTACCGTTTTTCATTCCTCTATTCTTCTATTTGCGACGTCATATAGCGCTCGGAAAACGCGGATCTGCTTATTGAAGCCCTGATAGAATGTCATCCGGAAGTTGATTCCAGTCTCAAAGACACCGCGCAGAGAAGGAAGGTCATCTTGTACAGATGTCTCCTTGGTATGACAGAAGGGGACCATGAAAGGAAGAAAGTCTCCTGTGAAGGCTGCAGTCTGACGTGCCTGGTCTAGACATCTGCTAGCATGAGTTGAATACACTAGTTCATGTACATTTTAATGCTCCTGAAGCTCTTCCCCCACTGTGGCAATGTACTAATCATAAAAAGATGTTCCGGATCGCTCCTTCAGAGGTACACTATAATAGATAAGGGTGAAAAGTGATAAATTGCTGATTCTTACAGCTTGCCAGAGCACATGCATTGTCTCCTAGCGTGCGGTGTCTTGACCATTATATTTCAAATGCATCAAATCCTCTCAAGGGGATTGGAGAATTGTGTATTTTCTCGAGCGGATTAGGTCTTAGACATTACTTTATAAACCCTACCTCCCTAACATTAAGGTGACTTTCTAACTCTCCTCTTCTTATTTCTTATGAACATTCTTGGTAAAGTTAGAATTCTACTATATCCTATACTAGTTTCCTTTATTCCAAGTTACTACTTAGATCTAGACTGGCTGACCCAATCCGCAAATCCATATCCAATAGTCCATCCAATCCGCAGAATGGGTGGATCTACTCCATAGGTGGGCCCTAATAAACCTGCTACCATGTGGATAATTCCATCATGAAGCTATGCCGCCAGAAATCTTCTGAAGAGAACCTCAAAGCCGTGGTGAAGTCCCAATAATCGGGGTACCAGCCTGCCGACTCCCAGTCCAAAAACCCTGTGATCTCCTCCATTTTTTTCGCGCAATCGAGTGCGTCCTTGTACGCAGTTTCTGATGGAAAACCACCTGACCAAGCCGGCCTTATAAGGTAGTCATTGAACTCCTGTTCCGTCTCAAATGGACCAGCGTAGTGATTACTGCACCCTTGGGGACATCCCCTGAGCTGCTGGTTGGATGTATTGGATATGTCTAGTCCACGTGGTTATCTTCACAGGGAGTAGGCAGACTCGCGAGAAGAAAACAAAAGGCTGCAATGCATCTGTCTAGGTGAACCTTGTGACTGTACAGATCTAAGGTCATCTAATTCTTCTTACAATACAAAAGGACGGCCCTTATTTCACTTAGCTGAGGCTGTACGGAGTATGACAGGAGTTAAGTGCCTCCTCACCCTTTTCACCAGCCATCAGCTGGAGGATTTGCCTGAAGACGCCAATGGCCAGGAAGGACAAACTTAGCCAGAGATTTATAAAACAGAAGAATCAGCTTTCCTTTTGCACCTAATAAAGCTGACATCATTCTGTTGTCTCTTTGTCCCATACTTATATAGTTCGGTGAAACCACATGGCCGTAACCAGGGCCTTATCGAAGAGCAACTTCTTTTCTCATTCTCAGTCTCTCACGTAGCACTTGCCAGCCTCTTTGAGCTGTTGATTAGGAACATGATCCTCGAGGATGAGGCAGCCTGTGATTACAGATGGCATACTAGGCAGCCATACCAGAAACAGTAAACTAAGTCATCGACCTGCGTCTGACCGAAGCAGATCATGCTCATGGTTCCTTCAGTTGTCATTGTCAACCCGAGGAACCGCCGGGATAGTGTTTCTTGTGCCATTCTGCCGCCTCGTTCCCTGCGATACGTCCGAAAACCACGCACTCCAGAAGAGACGAGCCTCCCAGACGATTCTGGCCATGGACGCCGCCGGTCACCTCCCCTGCAGCCCAAAGCCCCTCCATCGGTATTCCATTTGCTCCTAGCACCCTGCTATGCTCATCAATCATCACTCCTCCCATGGTAAAGTGAACAACAGGCGTCACCTGTCCGGCATAGACCACAGTCTCCGGCATTACTTCAGTCAATGTCCAACGGCCAAAGGACTTGCGGCCGAAGGGATCCTCTTTCTTGCCGGACACAGCATCTGCATACTGCTGGATGGTCTTCAGCGCCGCCAATCCAAGCTCGCCAACTGTTGTCTTCTGCATGAGTCCTTTCCAGACGTAAAAGTCCATATGGGAGCCCGCTGCGGCTGCGGCACTTTCATCAAGTACAAGCGTGACATCCCACTGGCGCGTAGATGTCTCCATCGGACAAGTCGACTGCATGATTGCGTCCACGACACGTTGACGGGTATCCAGCTCATTCACGAACCGGCTTCCATCGCCATTGAGCAGAATCCCGCCCTCACCGCGGAGCATCTCCGCCGCCAGGATCTTGACCAACGCAGCCGGATCCTTGGAGTCCACGAATCCAGTCGGATGAACCTGCACGCAGTCCATGTCGACCACCGACGCACCCACCGCCTCGAGAATCGGCTGCGTGCCTTCCCTTGCCTCATTCGTCGACGGCAAGTTCGCCAGATCGGACCGGTACCTCGCCAGCATGCCCCTGGAGTCCCCCGCAAACCCGCCCGTCGCAAAGATGACGGGTCCATGGAGCGTGTGCGCCAGCCCCTGGCCTTGCCGTTCCCCTTCACCCTCCATAGTGACATACTCCACCCCCTTGACGCTCTCCCCCTCCCTCACCACCTTGGTAACCCTCGCCCCGCTCCACAGCGTAAACAGATCCTGCCCCTTCAACCCCTCCAGTAACGCCCTCACAATCGAGAAACCAGGCGGGTCCCGCCCCGCACCGCGATGCGTCCGCGGGTACGTGTGCCCGCCCAACTGCGCGACTTTACTCAGCTCAACGCCCTTCTCATCAACGAGCCAGTTCACCGCGTCTGCGGAGCAATGCGCAAGCGTGGAAATCAGCTTCTCCCGCCGCGCGCGCTCGTCGCTACTTGCCTGGGTGAACACGAGGCCGGCGGACTTGATCGTGTCCTGGAGGAAGATCTCCGCGGTGTCGGCTTGGGTGGGTTGGAATCGTGTTCCGGCGCCGTTGATGCCCGAGGAGGCTTTGATGGAGTTGCCGCCTGGTTTGGGGGCGCGGTCGAGCATCTGCACCGGGATGTTGTGCGTGATGAGGGTGCTGGCGGCGGAGAGGCCGGCTAGGCCGGAACCGACGATGATTACGGGGGGTGTCATTGCCATTTCTTTGGCTTTTGTTTGAGATGAATTGAGTTTGGATGTTGTTTTGGGGGTTTGTATGAATATGAATAAGGGATCTGACGGAAGGGGTCGGCATGAGGATCAGGCAATGGTGGGCTGATGCGTATCCGATCATTCCATGATGCTTACATCACGCAGCATAATCTTTGTACCTGGCTATCGGCCTAGGACTTCACCACCTCTGAAAACCCTGACTCATGAAGAAGAATTGAGGAGCGTCGAATTGTAAAATTCTAATAGCTCGTATAATTCTGCCCATCGGATTATATGCCTTGTCGAAGCTGGAATATTGAAGAGCTAAACGGAATACCGCCATCAGGGATAGGCCGACACTGTAATGTTATAGTCACTAATCTACATCAGTACAACTAGGCTATAGGCAAGAGCTCCGGTACTTACTAGGAAGGCAGAGGATTTGCTTGCCCCGAACTATGACCCAGCTTCTCTTAGTATATATGGCAAAGCTGGCTGCTTGGGAGCAGTGTGATGTCTCTCTTGGATACTTTATGTCAACGCTTTTGATATATTGATCCCTTTCTTTTATTTCAGTCGGCCTGGTTAAGTTGGTGACTCTGCTGAACTGTTTATGAATTTTACCATATCAACCAATGGCTCAGAGATTCATACGCGTTCTACATGCTCCCAACTCCGTTGGGCATAGATGTGCCCACAACAGACCAAACCGCCTAGACCAGGGAGAAGTGATCTCGGAGAATCTGCTCCCATAGCGCAGAAAGCCTTCTCTGGAATAAACTCGTTTCATTCGAGGCTTATTTTACCCCGCGCGGAGACTCCCCCACAGGAGCCAAATGCAGGCACTTTAGTCTTCAGCTCGGGGAACTCGGACGGGAACCGGCCCATCTCCACCGGACAACGGGGTATTTAGCCTGCCCCTCGTCCGGTTCTACCGTGCAGCTTTGCTGAGACAACCATCAGAATGGAAGCCGAGGTATCATTCCAAGAGGATCGACCTGCGTGTCGCGCTTGTCGCAAGCGGAAACTCCGCTGCTCGCGTGAAGTGCCTCTCTGCGCTCATTGTCGCAGGATTGGTAGCCCCTCTATCTCCTTAAGAAGGTCACCTGCTAAGACTGTATAGGAACGACGTGTGTATATGATGGAGAGCGAGAGAAACCAGGTCTGAAAACCGGAGCTGTGGAGGCGTTGAGGAGACGGGTTGGTATGTCAATATCTACAATCTGTGGGTCCCAGTCTGACAGTAAACAGAGGCGCTAGAAGATGCTGTGTTCCACCAGGGACGACCAGAAGAAAATAGACCAGTGTCTGATAGCAACGCGGTGGCTACTGCGCTTCGAGAAGGACTGGAGCTGCTCCTCGGACAGCAGCAGCAGCAGCCTCACCCACGTAAAAGACCATGTGAGACGGACTTTTTGCCTGAGACAATCCAGGATGTGCCGCGATCGCCATCCAACAAACGGAGACGGGTAACCGATACGCTGATTGAGCCGGAGGGGCTCTCCGATCTGTCGTCCAGTCTACCTCCGCCGGCCGTTATAGAGGCCGTGATCGACTCATACTTCGCCCTTGTACAACCATGGATCCCAATCTTCCACGAAAAGAAGTTCCGTCAGCGGTTGAGGAGCCCTGACAAGACTCGTCTGGAGGTTGTGCTACATGCGATGGTGGTTGCGATGCTCAAGCATGTCGACCAATCTGTGCTTCCGGCAGATCTCAAGGATATCGAAGCTCTCTGTGAACGATCCCGGAAGATTGTGGTGCTGACAGCAATGGATGACCTCTTCGTCGAGAATCTGCAGGCCTTGATCATCATCTGCTTCGAGGATGTATGATACGGGACCCTTTCTTGCTCACAGAGACTAACAGGTGATAGATTGGATCCGGGAGGGTCTCTCGAGCGTGGCCGATTGTCGGTTCCTTGACGAGGACGGTCGAGTACCTTCAATTGAGCGTCGAGTCCGAAAACCATGACACAGGACGAGTCCTGCAGCCTCGACCTTCTCTTCCGGTGGCTACAGACTGGGTGGAGGAGGAAGAACGACGACGGGTTTTTTGGACTATTTTCAACCTAGACAGGTATGTCATATCGTTTCTTGTTCCTGATCACACTAACATCGCAGATTCTGTTCGGTGACTACAGGGTATGTTGTGCTCAAATGCAATAGGATCCTGCTGAGATGTCCAGGTGGAACACCAGCCTAACCTCCAACGACGTCCACCGACGCCTCCCCGCGGACGGCGGCCTCTGGCACAACGAGGAACCCGTCACCACCCCCTTCTTTGGCATCTGGGACCGATCCGCCGGCAAGATCGGCACCCTCATCGCCTTCCTACCCACAGACAAGCCTTCCCCAACAGCGCAAGTCGACATGTCAACCGTGGGCGCCTTCGCCTATCGTGTCGAGGCCACCGAGTCGCTGAGCCGAGTGACGACCTTCTTCCTTCAGCAGCGGATCAACCATCGTGACCGACAGGAGATGGGCAGCTGGCTTATGCGGTTCAAGGAGCTGGATCTGCGGCTGGTGAGCTGGAAGATGTTCCTCCCGCACAAATGGAAGGACACGAATATCTCGCGGCAGCCGACGGTGGTGACGATGGATCCGAACCTGACGCTTGCGCACATTACACACAACACGTCGATGATCCTGCTGCATCAGCGGATTGCGTATCCGCCGCCGGAATGGTTGGAGGTTGTCAAATTGCCGACCTTGTCCAGCGCGGAGACGTGCGAGGCGGCGGCGGCCGAGACGGCGAATATCACGGAGAAGTATCTGGGGAATTGTCCGAGGGAGGGCGTGGTGGATAGTCAATTTGCGTTCTGTGTTTTCGTCAGTGCGAGGGTCCTACTGGGTCAGTTCATCCCTTCCTCCGAGATCCCACTAACCGCTGGATACAGTGCATTGGCGATACTATGGCACCCCCTTGTCCCCGGATTACTGGACGCTGATGAAATGCCTCGATGCCATGGTGACCCGCTGGTCCGGCCGTGTACAGTCGAGCCGTCAAAACTCCGCGGCCAAGTACTTTGGCCAACTCAATGCCGTCCACCGAGCGTGTCAAAGCGACGAGACCTTCAAGCTAGATGTTCTGGGGTACTCCAACGAGATTGAATGGACGGGAAATAGCCAGCAAGCAGCACTTGAAAGCACAGCCGGATTGCCCCAGCTCGCCTTTGCACAGGATCTACCGCCAGGGATGCCAGTCGATGCGCCTATGCTGCAATCTAGTCCGGCGAGAATGAGCTACAACACAGGAAGCCCGGACGAACTGACCACGGTGACATCGATCCTGTTAGATCAGCAGTACTCGGAGATGGACCGGATCATCAGTCTAAACAATGCGTATTTCGCATCAGATGTAGCGTATAGTACTTGACCAGTTCGGTCTGAATAGGAAATCGTCCGAGACTTATCCCGAGCCCCGCGTAGATATATAGCAACCCTCCCTCATCTAATTAACCAAACCAACGACAAAGACTAAAACGAATCAATATGCCCCCCCTCCCTGATTTCAGCGATAACCCCCTCCTCACCCGCAGCGACCTCGTCCGCGCCGCCCTCGCCCTCGTCCGCCCTTTACACGCCCACTTCTCCCCCGCGCGCGCACTCATCCGCCTCCCAATCGCAACCGGTGCCCACTTTGACGACGGCGCCGCCTTGCTCGAGGGATTCGCCCGTCCCCTCTGGGTCATCGCTACCCTCCTGCACTCCTTATCCTTCACCTCAGACCCCGGTATCATCGAATCCATACAACATGTCGCTCAACCCTGGGTAGACGGCATCCGCCACGGCACAGACCCCGACCATGCAGAATACTGGGGCACCATCGCCAACGGCGACCAGCGCATGGTCGAGGCGGAGGTTCTCGCGTGCGCGCTGCTCTTCGCGCCAGACGCGTTCTTCCACTCACAGAACAAAACTACCCGGAGGAACATCGTTGCGTGGTTGGAGGGGATGCACGGCAAGGACATGCCGGTGAACAATTGGCGGTGGTTCCGCGTTTTCTCGAACCTGGCTCTTGTCCTTGTTGCTGGGGTTCCGTATGACGAGGTCAAGCGGGAAATGCAGGCGGACTTTCAGGTTCTGGACGCGTTTTATCTGGGTGGGGGGTGGTCGGGGGATGGGCCGTGGTTGGCGGCGGAGGATGAAGTGCGCGAGCGGGAGGAGTGTGAGCGGATGAGGCGATGGGATCGGGTAGGGTGTGGACGACAGGCGGATTACTATTCGGGGAGTTTTGCGATCCAGTTCAGCCAGTTGCTTTATGTCAGGTTTGCGGGTCGCTTGGATCCGGAGCGGGCGGAGAGGTATCGGGCCCAGGCGAGGGAGTTTGGGGGGAGCTTCTGGCGGTATTTTGACCGTGAGGGTATGTTTGCCTCGAGATGCATGAGTGAGGGAGCTGACTGTGAGTAGGAGGGGCGATTCCTTTCGGAAGATCCCTTACCTATCGCTTTGCTTGTGGAGCTTTCTTCGCTGCGCTGGCTGGAGCCGATATCCCTGCCATGCCACAGCCATTGACTTCCATCGGCGCCGTCAAGGGCTTCCTGCTGAGGCATTTACGATGGTGGGCAACTCGCTCACACGATATGTTCTATGCCGATGGGACGATGAACATCGGTTACTTGTATCCGTACGTCCCCTCTTCCTATTCGCTACCAATCTAACAAATGCAGCAATATGTACATGTGCGAGGACTACAACTCCCCCCAGTCGGTCTACTGGAGCCTCAAGTCACTCATCGTTCTTCTCCTCCCCGACCCCCATCCCTTCTGGACCACACCAGAAGCATCTTACCCATCCGCGCAAGCACCGGTGGAAATAGTCTCAGCACCGCAGCAGCTCCTCTGCCACCACCCAGACGGAGGCCACCACTTCCTCCTCAACCCAGGCCAATTCGTCGCCTGGCCGATGAAAGCCTCGCAGGCGAAATACTGCAAGTTCGCGTACTCGTCCGCGTTTGCGTTCAGCGTGCCCACGGGGCCATTGATACAGCAGATCGCGCCGGATAGTACGCTCGCGCTGAGTCGGGATGGCTGCGCTACCTGGGCCGTGAAGTGGAAGGCCGCGCCTGTCCGGTTTGACACTGCGACTGTGCGGGGAGGGGGGGAGAGTATCCCCGTGGCGAACATCGAGTGGCGGCCGTGGGTGGATGGACAGGTCACGGTGCGGACGACGCTGATTCCGCCGACGAACCGGTGGCCGGACTGGCACGTCAGGGTTCATCGCGTTCGTGTCGGCAAGGGCTTTGGAGGGTTGCATTTGGTAGAGGGTGGGTTTGCTATCGCGCGTGTGCCGAGGGGGGCTGCGAAGACGCCCGGTCGTGAGCGGATGCTTCCGGCTCTCGAGGGCGAGGCTTGGCTGGATGCAGAGATTGGGGTGGGAGAGGGTGTTTGTCTATCGTCGGATAGTGTGCTTGTCTTGTCCGCGGCCGGGGCAAGTGGCGTTCGTGGAATAGTGTCCACAGGGGGGACGGAGCATGAGGCGCTGAAGCCTGACTCGAACACGAATCTCATGGCGCAGCGGACGTTGATTCCGGTGGTGAGGCATGAGGTGCTGGACTGTCAGGAGGCTGTCCTAGTGACCGCTGTCTTTGCTGTTGCAACTACTCAGGACCAGAGGCACCGGAGTCTACGGGAGAGATGGATGGATTTTCCACGGGTTGATCTAGAGTCAGAGAGTATCACGTTGCAATAGTGTGATTCTGTACCGTCTATATCAATCTGGACAGTTCATCTCACGATAGTCAGCCTTCTATGTCTATATCAACCCCAGTTTCAACAACTGATTCCCAAACTCCAGCAGATAGTAATCCGCATACACCAGCCCATGATCACTGTATCTCTCCAGATCCTGCGCATTGTGATTAGCCGTCGCATTGCGCAGAATCGCATCAAACCGCCTCCCAGACACATCCTCCACCTGCATCCTCCCCCCATCCACAATCCTCGCCTCATCCCTCGAGTACGAAAACTCAACCGTCTCGCTCACGATCCTCATCGCCGCATCCCGGAACCGCCGCGCCCTCTCATCACACCCAACCAATGCCTGCGAGAGCAGCAACATGCCATTCGCAGCAATCACCCCCGCAGACGAGTCCCGCAACGGACTGTCCTCGTCGACGGGGGCATCAAAGTCCCACAGCGGCACGTACCTCCCGACCATCCTCCCGTTAACCGTCCTCTCCACACAATCCGGCGCCCCCTCAAGCCTCACCAGAAAGTACTCGGCCAGCCCAATCGCCACGTCCAGGAACTGCGGGTCTCCCGTCCAGGCGTAGGTCTGCGCGTACCCGGTGATCGCCCACGCCTGGCCGCGCGCCCACGTCGAGCTCGCCGCGTACCCCTGCGCCGTGCGGCGCTCCTTGATAGCCCCCGAGGCGGGGTCGAAGTTGACGACGTGGATGGTTGAGTAGGCCTCTTTGTCTCCTGTGGTTTCCCGGCGGAGGTGGGACGTGAGGAGTGTCTTTGCGTGTGTGGCTGCGATGGCTGCGAGCTCTGGGCCGAGATGCGTGGCGGCGTAGAAGAGGAGGTCGAGGTTCATCATGCTGTCGATGATGACGAGGCAGTCTGTGCTTAGGGAGGTGATCTGCACGTCGGATTGTCGGAGGGTATCCCAGCTGCGGATTGCGCCAGTGGAGGGGACGAACCGCGAGGCGAGGCTTTGGGCGCCTGTCAGCAGGGCGTGCAGGCTGGAGGGGTTGGAGGTGAGTTCCCAGGAGCGGCGGAGGGAGGGGGCGAGGATGAAGCCGAGGTCGTGGGTGTCTGTTCGTAGGGACATGGGGTAGATGGGGGCGGTCCATTTGGTGCAGAGGCAGAGGAGGTGGTCTCTTAGGGGCGCTGGGTCTGTGGTCTTGGGGTTGTGCCCGAGGTATGGGAAGGTCGAGGGGTATCGGATGGCTCGTTCGAGGAGGAGATACAGGAGCCCTGGGAAGAAGCCGCTGGTCCAGAAGGAGGATTCGCGGAGGATATAGTGGCCTGTCGAGGGGCCTTTCTGAGGGACGAATTCCGGATAGACGGTGGGAGGATCCTACACTGTCAGTACTGTGAAAGATCTGGTGGTGATGGCAAGTACATTGTTGGTTAATGCCTGGACGGCCACGCGGAGGATCTTGGCCAGCACATTTTCGGAGAAGATTTCTCGTAGAGGCTGGGACATGATGTCTGGGGATGATCCGTTGCATTGAGTTTGGTGGCTAGCAGAGTCTGTGGTCATCTTGTCTGAGTTGTCATGTAAGATGGGATGCGCAAGTTACTCTGGATGCTTATCACTGTCACTATATCGTCCCTCGGAGGAATCATCCCCGAGCACATTCGCCCGCCCCGAAGCCATGCAGAGACTCGAGAAAGATCGACGGCTCGTCGGACGATTGACTCCAGAAATGGCCCGATGTTCCCCAGATCCACTTCCCCGCGTCCATGTGGGTACATAAAGCAGCTCTAGCAGTGCTCGTAGATCAACATTAAGCCAGGATACGAGTCAGCAAGTTGCTCGACGAGATGAGCCCACACAATACACAAGCAGAGACCGACAACTTCGAAGGCCTCACTCTCAAAGATGTCACTCCCAAGCGTCCTCCCTTCTACAAGGACTGGACTCTCCTGCGACTCAACACCCTCCTGCTGTGTGCCCTACTGACGCAAATCGCCTCCGGCTACGACAGCAGCATGCTCAACGGCATGCAGGCCCTCCCCCAATGGAACAAGTACTTTGGCAAACCAACCGGCACGCGTCTCGGCGCCATGTCCTTCGGTCCCACCGGCGGCACTCTGATCTCGGTTCTGGTCTCCTCGCAACTCTGCGAGCGGTTCGGCCGTCGGTACCCCATCTGCGGCGGCTCGCTCATCATCATCCTGGGCTCGATCCTGCAAGCCGCCGCCGCCAACTACGGCATGTTCGTGGTCTCGCGCTTCTTCGTCGGCTTCGGCCTGGGGATCGTCGCGACGGCCGCGCCGCCCTTGCTCACCGAGGTCGCCTACCCCTCCCAGCGAGGCAAGCTCGTCTCCTTCTACCTGACCACCTGGTCGCTGGGCTCCCTGATCGCCGCATGGATCACCTACGGCACGTTCAAGATGACCGATTCCTCGTGGAGCTGGCGCATCCCCAGCGTGCTGCAGTGCTTCTTCTCCATCATCCAGGCCGTGCTCAGCCTCTTCGCCCCGGAATCCCCGCGCTGGCTCATCTACCACAACCGCCGCGAGGAAGCCCTCGCCATGCTGGCCAAGTACCACGCCGACGGCGACGCCACCTCCCGCCTCGTGCGCTTCGAGATGGCCGAGATCACCGCCACGCTGGAAATGGAGAAGCTGCAGCGCGCCTCCCGGTGGACGGAGTGGGTGGCCACGCGCGGCAACAAACACCGCCTGTTCCTGGCGCTGTACATCCCCGCCATGCTGCAGTGGGCCGGCAACGGGCTGACCTCGTACTACCTGTCCAAGGTGCTCACCACGATCGACGTCACGAACCCGCACACCCAGCTGATCATCAACGCGTGCCTCTCCGTCTGGTCGTTCCTGACGGCCGCGTGCTTCGCGACGCTGGTGGACCGCGCGGGCCGCCGGCGGCTGTTCCTGTGCGGGATGGGCGGGATGGGGGTCTCGTACGTGATCTGGACGGTGTGCTCGGCGCTGAACCAGGAGCGCGGGTTCCAGGATAAAGGGTACGCGGCCGCGGTGCTGCTCATGATTTTCATCTTCAGTGCGTGCTACCATATGTGCTCGCCGGTGGCGCCGACGTACATCATGGAGGTCGTGCCGTTCTCCCTCCGCGCGAAGGCGTCCATGATGTACCAGCTCACGGGCAACCTGGCGGGGATCTACAACTCGTTTGCGAACCCGGTGGCGATGGACGCAATCGCCTGGCGGTATTATATCGTCTGGTGCTGTGTGATCGTCGTGCACTTTGCGCTGATCTTTTTCTTCTTCCCCGAGACCAAGGGCAAGGGGCTGGAGGAGGTGGCGGAGATTTTCGACGGGCCGGATGCGTTGGCTGGGGTCAATGCCATGAGGCAGATGGGGTTGGACGGGCATGCCGGCAAGGCTGTTGCGGCGCATGTGGAGAGGGTTGATGCTTGATATGGTCAGATTGTATGGATTTTGTGATATACTGACTTGTCCCGCGGAGCTATTAAAACACTACAATACACCTTGAAAGAAAAAACTAGAACCGATATCCTCCAGAGACGGCAGTCAATGATACGTAACCTTGGTCTCGGTCGACATGACAATCCCCTCCTGGCTCTCGCTCTTCGCATTCGGCCTGACACTGATACTCTCCACGTCCTCCTCCCGCGGATTCTGCGTATTCAGCGTCGTCAGGTAATCCCAGTTCCTAACCCCCTTCTTCTTGGACCCAGGCTCGTGCATGGTATAACTCTCCTCGCTGCCGTGCCGATCCCCACTGGCGTTCTTGCTTCCGAACAGCCGGGGGAAAACCTGCAGCAGCAGGGGCCGAAGGACAGGCAGACAGGCACAGATGATACCCACGTTGATCTCGACCATCCTATGCATCATCAGCACGAGTACACTCAGAAAGAAAAAAAAAAAAAGGGACATACGCCCACTTCGCCAGCGTCACCTTATACCAGGTGAAATCGGTCGAATGCACAAACGGCATCATGGTCACGATCCGCACAATGGCAATCACGCACGCGAACGACCCCATCGCCAGCACCAGGCACAGCAGGAGCTTCTGCTTCAGCGTCGTCTGCAGCGCCCAGCAGAGCTTGATGGGCAGGATGAGCGTCATCAGATCCGAGAGGAGGTTGAAGGCCGCGTTGGCGTACACGAAGGCCAGCTGGTCGACGCACTTGGCCGTCGCCATTTGCGTCACGTCCCACATGGCGGTGACGGGGATGCAGCCGCAGGTGAAGACGAGGATGCTGATGAGCGAGTAGACGAAGACGAAGGCCATGATGCCGTAGGTCCATTGGCGGAAGCGGCGCTCCGGGTTCAGGCGGAGGTAGAAGAGGAGGATGGAGGTTTTGACGAACCAGATGCCGAGGGCGAAGACGTCTTCTGCGGCGAGGTCGTTCTGTTCTTGTCAGTTGAGTCGGACTGTAGGGCATGGGGAGGTACCTGTTTGAAAGGCTTGAGTTTGCTGAGGTACAGGTCCCAGATATGCACGCCGTAGCCGTTTTCGATGTCTACATAGTTAGTTTTTAGTATGTATGCGGAGGAGAAGGGGACGTACTGGCAAACCCGAGGATGGCAAATATCCATGCGCAGATCTGCGCCGCGATACAGAACCCTACTGGGTCAGCATCATTGTTACCATCGTAGAAAACATGGGCATATACAGTCATCAATAGCAACGGTCCGCAAGATCACACCCCGTGTGTACAACCGCAGCGCCAGCACCGCCGTGGCTGTCATACACAGAGCGATGTTGATCGAGTAGATGTCGTAGTCGGACCGCTGGGGGTTCTCGAAGTTGGGCGTCACGCCCGGTGGCGGAGGGGAGGCAGGTGTCTTGCTTAGATCCATGGCGCTCGTAGTCAGTGGGCCGACGATTGAATGGAATCAAGCTAAGTTGTGTAGGTTTGATTGAGGAGCTTGATGTCGGGAGGCTTTTCCCGTTTATATGCTTGAGGCTCCTCATATTGTCGTGTTGTGTGTGCTCTGAACAAAGTACGATCGACCGGAAAGTGATATATCTCATGCATATCTATATCTCTGCTTGGGAATTATTGACTACTAGGTATGGAGTACTATGTACAGTCCATGTCAGACTTGACATGTTAACAATGAGCACTGTCATATCTCTCATAGATCATCCAATACTACCTATTCCACTACGAACTGATCCTAAGAGAAAAACAGCTGTCAGATTCACGCCGATCTTCGTATTCTCAAACAACCGGGGTATTTGCTTCTTTCCCCGGGTGACAATTCCTATTTCCCGGTCTGACAAGATTCGCACTGTGGCACGTATGACATATCTCGCGCGTTGAAGATCACTGTCAGTGCAGCAACACTATTCATCGCCCTTGCAGAGGAAGCATGACCAAGTACTGTTCCTAGCGAGCCAAATGAGTCAAGACGAAGCATTGACCAAGCGGAGGTCATACCCAAGTCAATGCATGCCAGCATTATGCACTCCGTAGAGGGGATCCGGTCCGGCGGGCTGGATGTCGATCTATGACAGGGAAACCGAGTAACCGTGGCTTGTGGAATTAGCTGACTGGAGGAATCAAGTATCGATGGTCTCAGACTTTGCCTGAGCAGTTGAGATTGAGTGCATTCAACGTGGGAGCATCTTGGTTCCGATTTCAATATGGAGTATATCAGTACGACTCTGGCGTTGTGGCTGTTTCACAATGCCATTGCTTTTAAACTTATTTATCGAGTACTACTGCTCCTGTTGTCCTATTCTGCCATCTGTCAGGTCGGTAGCAGCTTTACCTCTGCAATGATCATCGTCGATAGACTCTAGGAAGAGTGGGAAATAGTGTATGTGAGCCATCACACGGACCATTCCGGCCATAAGAGAAGAGTACTAAAATCTGAAAGCGGCATCTGACAGGCTGAGAATCCTCGCTTGGACCTTAGGACCAGCCGATCATTGACCATCCTCCTATCAAACATGAACATGCATGTCCATCCCGTAGAGTAACTCTCGGGGAACACCCAAGTAACTGTCCCAGCTGGAATTAACCTCATCTAATTCTGCAGCCAACAGCCCCCAACCCATCCCCGACCAATGAAGCCCGTCCCAGTAGCGAGCACAGACAAGGCACCGGGAGGAAGGTGGAGGTGATACGGGCAATTGTGATGCATCACATTTGCGACGGCAGCATCCGGGATGATTGGTGGATGGAGAACAGAGTCGATTCCCCCGCTTATACTCGTCCATATTATAAGAAGTACCGCCTGTCTCGGATGATTATGTGACAAATTATTACCCTGCAGACAAGGATTGTTCTTCTGGTAGGGAGTGGATATTGATCTTGCATAATGGGCAGCATCGACAACAACATCGACGCCATCCAGAAGGATCTGGACGAGGTTGTCAATGCCACCGAGGCATACAAGCACTCGAACAACGACTACAATGCCCGCTACAACTTGATGCTCAAGGCCACGCGCCTGCTGCAGACCATCCGTGGTCCGGTCGACATGCTCTTTACCAATTTTGAGAACGTACGTCCACTGCACCGTTGCAAGGCAGATAGTTGACAAGAAATAGATGGCGAGCATGGGCGCCCTCCGCACGCTCGTTGAAGCAGGCGTCTTCCATGCCATCCCCACGGGCGGCCAGAGCATCTCCGCCAAAGAGATCGCCGCGAAGACCGGAGTCGACAAGGAGATGATTGGTATTTCACCTCCCCGCCCAGTAGAGGAACGAAGCGAGCTGACGTCTGACGGACAGTCCGACTGATGCGCGCCCTCACGCCCGTCGGCCCCTTCCGCGAAACCGGCGAGGAGGAGTACGCCCACACGCCGTTCTCCGAAATCTACATGGCGCCGCAGATGAACGCCATCTTCAAGGTGATGTGCGTCTCCTCGTTCTGACATAGTTGGACAGGCAGGTGCTGAGTGACCAGGATCGACGAGTACTGCCCGCCAATGCTCCGCAACCATGAATTCCTCGCCCAGCACAACTGGCAGAACACGATGACGCTGCGCGACAACCCCTACACGCACGTGCACAACTGCACCGGCACGACCATGTTCGATTACATCTCCGAGTATCCCGAGCGGCTGAGCAGGCTCAACGACGCCATGATGGCGCAGGACTCGGCGCTCGTCGTCCACGGGCTGTACCCGTTCACGCAGGAGCTGGGGGCTCTGACCCGGGACGACCAGGTGACGATGGTGGATGTGGGTGGTGGACGAGGCCATATCCTGCGGCAGATCAGGGAGAGTGAGCCCTCGCTCAAGGGGCGGTTCATCCTGCAGGATCGGCCCATTGTGATTGAGGAGAATGGGCGGGAGATGGAGATGCATGGGATCGAGCCGATGGCGCATGATTTTTTCCAGGCGCAGCCTGTCAAGGGTACTTCTTTTCCTTCGCCCTGTCTCTTCTTACTTTATCAAGTGCTGACAGATAAGGTGCGTTGGTTTACTACGTCCGCCGAGTATTCCACGACTGGCCCGATGACGAGGTCCGGCAGATCCTGGTGAATCTGGCTGCGGCGATGGAGGTGCACTCCCGGGTCTTGATCGTCGAGTTCATCATGCCTGAGGTTGGAGCGACCATGTCCAATGCCTACATGGACCACACGATGATGACCTTTGCGGGTGTCGAGCGGACGGAGAAGAACTTTGCGAATCTGTTGGAGCAGGCTGGATTGAAATTGGCCAAGGTGTGGAGGGCGCCTGGAGTGCCTGTGGGGGTTGTTGAGGCCAGATTGAAGTGACTGCTCTATAGTGAGGCGGCTTATTTGTTTAGTAGATAGTCTTCCAGAGTACGATATCAAATTACCTGCATGCAGCTATGCACAGACTGCAGAAGTACTGCGTAAATTGTTACACACAGCCCGGGGAATGTTACATGCAAGGGCTATCCTGCCCCGATCAGCTATGCACATGGCTCTTGAGGTCGGCTTGGAGTCTTTGATTGAGGAAAAAGGTTGAGTGAGATGACTTTGATTGAAGATATTCTGTTTGATGTCCATATGTACGAGCCCTTGGTGATGGGGTGGCGCATGATGCAGTGCAGATGGTCAGGCACCAAAGACACATGCCAGGATTCAATATCGGATGATAAGCAATAAAGAATCCTCTCAGTAAAGAAACTTCCATTGATCCGACCTGAAGAGTATCTAGTCTGTTGCTAGTGTTTGTGACTGCTACAGTAGCAGCACTACTGCAGTAGATTGATTAATGAGGGGAAGAACAGTATCAGGGGCTACTTAGATCGAAGTTATATTGCAAATGCCAAGATGAACATACTTACATGCTTATCTTTCTGCATGAGACTAGATTCAGGTACATTCGGCTTCCCCTGACATTATCACACTCCCTCTAATTCATATCTACCGATGTCTCTCTACACCACCATCCCACGCCACACTCCTACTGTTGCAACATGATGCTATCAAGAGGTTGTCTACTGCTGACCATACAAAGTATCATGCGACATCACTATCGCAAATGTCATGGAATGCGGCTGGCATTCCTGAGAATGGCGGACACGTTGCGAGGCCACCGACGCTGAAGGTCACATTCCTCACCCTCATGGCTTTAGCCTCGATGGAATGAAGGCTGGATTGTCAGGTATAAGAGCCACTCTGGCATCTGCTTGACATCATCCCTCGATCATCCTGTCTCTGTACTTCATCATATTCTGTATACATTCATCATGACTCTATACAAACTCGGTCTCTTGACAAGCCTTCTGGCTACATTCCACGGTGCCTTGGGCAAGTTGAACCTGAACAGCCAGTCCAACATTGCCGTCTACTGGGGTATGACTCCGTCTTGGTCTCGTTTCACTCTATCGTCCTCCTGTCTGATGCAAATAGGCCAAAACTCCCATGGAGCATCCACCGGTCTAGCAGCACAGCAAAGACTGTCGTACTACTGCCAGAGTAAGTCATACACAGCCTATGTGTGCTCACTACTCACTAACCGCCTAGACACCGACATTGATGTTTGACTCCTTGCCATCACATCCGCGTCCTCACTCCCTAACAGCCATAGGTCTTCCAACTTGCCTTTGTCACCAGAATCAACGGCGCCGGCGGCCTCCCCGAAGTCAACTTCGCCAACGCAGGCGACAACTGTACCACCTTTGCCGGCACGAACCTCCTCAGCTGTCCCCAGATAGAGTACTCCCCCCGTCACCCTCACCACCGCCCATCATCCCTCGACTAACAAGTGCACTGTGCCACAGAGCAGATATCCAAACCTGCCAGTCCCTCGGCAAAACCATCCTCCTCTCCATCGGCGGCGCAACCTACACAGAAGGCGGCTTCCCCAGCAGCTCCGCCGCCACCGCCGCAGCCAACACCCTCTGGCAGACCTTCGGCCCCGCCTCCGACCCCTCGGCCCTCCGCCCCTTCGGCCAGGCCACCATCGACGGCTTCGACCTCGACTTCGAATCCACCGTCTCCAACATGCCCGCCTTCGCCACCCAGCTCCGCACCCTGTATCTGTCCGACCCCTCGAAACAATACTACCTCACCGCCGCCCCGCAGTGCCCCTACCCGGACGCCGCAGACGGGCCCATGCTCGACGGCGCCGTCTCCTTCGACGCCATCTGGGTCCAGTTCTACAATAACTACTGCGGCCTGCAGGCGTACGTCCCCGGCGCAGCCACGCAGTACAACTTCAACTTCGCCACGTGGGACAACTGGGCCAAGACGGTGTCGCTCAACAAGAACGTCAGGGTCTTCCTGGGCGTGCCCGGCAGCTCGACCGCCGCGGGGAGCGGCTATGTCTCCGTGGACAGGCTGGCGGGGATTATCGCGTATGCGAAGGGGCTCTCGTCGTTTGGGGGCGTGATGTCCTGGGATGCGAGCCAGGTTGTTGCGAATAGTGGGTTTTTGGGCGGCGTGAGGAGCGCGCTTGCTTCGGGTTCGGGGTCGGGGTCGGGGTCGTCCAGTTCGAGTTCGAGTTCAACTTCGACTGTGAGTTCTACTTCTACGGCTACCTCGACCCCTCCTGCTACCACGGTGACCAGTACGACCAGTGTCCCGACGACGTTGACGAGTGTGACCAAGACGTCTACGACGACGGCGACGACGACAGCGCCGGGGAGCGGTAGCTGTCCCACGGCGGGAGCGCCCTGCTCGACTCCCGGAGCGTCGGCGTGCAACGGGGCGAGCTTTGGGCTATGTGATAACGGCGCGTGGGTGCTGCAGCCGTGTGCGGCCGGGCTGGTCTGTATCCAGGGATCGGCGGGGGTGTACTGCGGGTACCCTGGGGATAAAGCCACGGGCTCTTGTTGATTGACCTGCCTGATGGCTGCGCTGCATTTGCACATATTCTGAACAATTGTCTATACTCAGTAAACAATGCATTCTGTTATTTTCTCTAAGCTTGGCCGCAAAATCAGACAGTCAATGATGCCATCCACACCGATGGCAGTGCTGCGGACTCTTGCAGCTCGCCCCGTCCGCCGAGACACATGCGCTTATCGAGTGGCCGCGGTACGTGCTTCCGGGCTTGTACTCGGGACACTCTGTGGTTTCCTGTTGCTGTTGGGATGTGTTTGGCTGGTCGCCTTGTTGGGGTTGGGGTTGGTCTTGCGAGGACACTGGGTCTGTTAGATGGTGAGTTTGTTGGGCAGGGGGGGCTTACTCTTGTGGTTGTGGAAGAGTTAGGATGATCGATTATGGGACGGACCTGAGAGATAGGGTTTATTTAAGCATTGGGTGTGGTGATGTTTGGTTGAAGTATCATGTTGACGATATTCTAGATCCATGGTTGGTGATGCGGTAAGTGACCTCTTTATGACATTGGTCTCATTCGAGCTTATTACCTATTTACTTCTCCGGTAATCGCATGCAGTATCAGTCTGTTGTCATTAAGTATAACGCCATAGCGACAAGATCATGGCAATTTATGCCCGGGAACTTCCCGGAACAGTCTGCAGTCTCCACGGAAGAGAGGTCCGGCTATGATCACCGGGTCCAGTTGCGATGTAGTAGTCCTGTTCGTCCATATTAACTCAACTTGGTGACTCTCGCTTCTGCGTTCTGCAGGATAAAGACGGATACCATCTCGATGATCCCTCAGGCCCGCTCCCGATTGTGATCAGTCCGTCCACTGCCTCGGAGTCGATCGATCACTCCTCCATCTCTTTGTCTATCAGAGCCTCCTGCACTCATTCCATCCTTTCAATCCAGATAATCCGAGTGGTCCAGGGCGGAGGTTAGAGAATAGGAGGGTCGAGCGGCTAGGCTACTGTAGGAGTTAAATAAGAAGGCATCCGGACGATGTACTCGTCAGTCTAGGGTTTCATATCCATAGTCATAGTGGTATATTATTCCAACAAAGGGGTTTATCATTCGACGGCACTGGCACGGGGGACGATACCTCATAGTTAAGTAGAGCTTCAACGTAACAAGCGATGCTACTGCAACGCTCTTCCAGAAAGTCTACTGCTAGTTGGTTGATGTACATATGTACATAGTGCTGCCAAAACATCGTTTGCCCTTCAGACCTGCAGTAATATGAAGCTGATTACCCCTGCTTTGTGGACGAGTCTTTGACTACAACCGCTTTCCAGCATTGCGGATGTCAATACCCAGTAGGCAGTCATTCCAATCAGGGTCACCTTGGGCTTTGCAGGTAAGGGAATGTCGTACCTAGTATCCCACCTAGCAAGCTTGATCAAGCTTGATTGGAGCCATTTAGTATCTCTCGATCTCGTCCTGAGACATTAAACCAATCAAGTTATCGAATGTCTGGTAGTTGGAAGGAAAAGGCTGAGGCTATGGCTGCCAGTCACCGCCACAATAAATTCCCCTCTCATGCTGACCCCCTTTATTGTCGATCGACAGCATGCCAAAGGATTGTTGAGCTTTGAAGCATCCTCCACGAGCTAATACTGCATCGATGAGAACGAGCCATTTTTGGCCCCAACCAGGGTCGAGCCTTGAACAACCAATGCTTGAGACAGCAGATTAATTCGACAGAAGGAACAGGCCAATATTACAATAAGGTTTACGCTCGCGGATGATCGCCACCCATCCAGCCACACCTCGTATTTCCTCTTGAATCAAAGTATCGAATCTGGAGATAGTGTGGAGAACCCTGCAATGCATATGTTGATCCTATCACTCTTATGGTAAAAGTTCACAGCTGAATGGGGCAGTTTATGAATATCACCATCCTGCACCTCGTATCGGTCATAGACAATTGGGAGACGATCAGGCATGAGGCCCCCAAACTCATGTTTCTATACTTGGAATCAAAGTCAGCCAAAGTCTGCAAGGAGGCGAATGGCTTTGATGTAATGATTATGGACGAATACGAGGGAGTGCGCTATCCAAGTCATGTCGATGAAGATCTTAGTCAAGGCATCGTGCGTTTGAGGAAGAATCTAGGAGACTCAGATCTTGAATCAAGACACTTGATGAGGGTCGAATACGAGCGTCTACACATACCCGATAGAGTAATGATTGATGGCAGAGAGGTATAAAGGCAGCACCACGGCCAGGGCATTCTCCCCTTCTCATGAAGACAAGCAACAAACCTACTCTACCAAGTCTGCACTCTCCAAAGCAATCAAGGTGCGTCTTCAACTCCATATTTCATACCAGACTAACACCACAAAGAACACAATGCGTTTCACCAACATCCTCACTCCCCTCCTGGCGAGCGCCACCCTCGCCTCTGCCTTCTGTCACAACTCCATCTCCTGCGCCATCGGCGGTGACTCCACCTGCAGCAATGTCTGCGTGCGCCAGGGCAACCCCAACGGCGGCCGCTGCCTCCCCCGCGACGGCTGCCCAGGCTACGACATCTGCGCGTGCTACCCGAACAACAAGCGCAGCGACGAGGTGATTGACGGCGATGAGTCCCTGCGTGAGGTCCTGAATAACATGGGTATCGACGACGTTGTGAAGAAGGTGGATGCTAGAGATGCGACGTTGGATAAGCGTAGTATCTGCTGCAGCTTCCCTGATCCCTGGGGAGGACTCTGCTGTGAGGATCACTGCAGCTATATTGGAAAGCCCGGTGGACAGTGCTCAGACAAGAAAGTTTGCACCTGCAACTAGTTGGTTGACTTGAGGCTGTATTTTGTTGATGGAGAGGAGGACGCTGTTTTTGATTACGGATTGGTTGAGCAGACTGGATTTTCTTGCTCCGATGTTCGCTGAATTCAACTGAATGAACTTGTTTATGTTGCCTGATCGGGAGAAATTGTGTAAAAATCAGAGCACAGGGCACTGTGCTAGTAATTGTCTCTTAACTAGTTGAGTGCTTGGTTTACATAGACTCCGTAGAATATGAGGATCTATGAAATTGACACTAAAAACAACCACTTCTGAGGCTGTCTGCAGCCATATTTTTACCCACCCTGTCATAAGGGCCAGTCAATGCTTTAACGAAGCTAGTTTGCTGGCGATACAGACGACATCACCGCTATGTGCAGTCAAAGTTCGGCTGAAAATCTCTCGAGGTCACCCTTGATGCATATCTCGAGATTATTGCCGAGGGAAAGGCCATTGCATCTCCGGATCCAGCCTTGATAGAGACGGCTGGTCATGCCATCGATTCATACAAACCATGGATCATCCGTGCCTATTCGCCCGTTGATCTTGAGAAAGGTGTATTCGCCATGAAACGACTCAGGGATACATTCTGGTAGTGACAATCCTGTGCCAGAGAATGAGTATTCTGGGCCGTATCGATCTGGATTCACAGGCTTTACAGACTTGTGGTATGTACAGACTCATAAGGGTTTGACAAACTGGGCGGAGAGAGTGGAGAGGGGAATTGAGAAATTTAGAGAGGCAGATATAGAGGAGTATTAGAAGGAATATTGGATTCCACCTAGTTGGTGATACTTTGCTGCCTTTAGGGAAGTTAATAAGGGAGTATTATAGCAGCAAGGTGAATGCACATCCAGTAGAATATTTTAGTGAAGTGAATGGCTAGTACCCCATTACTCTTAAGATATCATGCACACTTCAACATCTGTAGACGGAATATACCGCTTCCAGTTACTTCTCCTCTCATCTGTATATTCACTGTCACTGTACTGCACTGGCTATATAAACCCCCTTCTCCCCCATCAATCTCTTCTCTCTTCTTCATCTCTCACCATCCTTCCATCCTTCCAACCCTCCATCTACTTCCAATCTTACTCTCTCTCACAAAACATACTACAACCAACCACTCAATCAAAACCACTCTCAAAATGAAGCTCAACGCTATCCTCCTCTTCTCCCTCTTCGGCCTCGGCCTCGCTACTCCCGTCACCACCGACGACCACCTCGCTGCCCGTGGCGACAGTACGTCCCTCCCACCCTCAAACCACAACAACGCCTCTAACTCTGCTGACTCCCACTCATAGACGCTGACCTCAACAACGACGGCTCCTTCATCCCCCATCCCAAATGCGATGCCAACGGCCAGTGTCCTCAGTACTTCGGCTGCAGAAACGGCTATTGCTACTGCCTCCCCTACCACGTAAGGCTCCCTTCCTTTGGCACTTGAGTTGGATGCTAATAGCTGGCGCAGAGAGCGGACTGCGTCCCTCCTGCTCAGATCTAATCGACGCAATGCGGCTACTCAGCGAGGTGCGGCCATCGAGCACTGGATACACTGGTTATTTGGCGGTGGATTGGCTGTCTTTGCTAGAAATGCTTCGCATCATGGGGATTGGTTATGGATGATGGTGGTGACGATTGGGGCAATTGAGATTGCGGTGTAGCTAGCTACTAATGCCAATCGTCTTATGACTGTGATGACCCTGCGCGCAACACCGCGCTTAACTCTGTAGTCTCTGATATAGTCTCCCTTTGCACGTAGTTAGCTGCATTAGGAAGGGAAGGGCTCAGGGCTCAGGGCTAGGGTTAGTGGAGGTCTCATACCACCCACCACCACCTTCGGTCCTCTCACCTTCTCCCTTCCCTCTCCACCTTTGTTCTTCTCGTGATAGGACTCAAATAAGAATCGATTACATTCATCCTTTCTATCTGATCTGCCGATCATCACAATGACTTTTATGATGTTTACTGTAGACCACAACGTTTGCAATCCTGTGGCTTCTTAGAGCAGAGATTTACGATTTGTAGAGCAACGGTTGGCAAATTCTGAGCCTTCTCATTCATGATTTACTATGATCCGCTTGACATTCGGCTTCTGTGGTCTCAGTTATCCTGGGCTGCAACAAGACACAGCAAACATCTGGCCTGAGTGGGCAGCTTGGCGAAAGATCAACCCAATCTCCCGCGTGTTACTCACATCCTCGGGCACCAATACTCTTGCAGAAACTGCAAGAGAGGCAGATTAAGCCTGTTGTATTCGTCCATGAACTCATCTACTAGTTGCTCCAATTGAGACAATCCTTTTTCCTCTACCCCTCCCAACATTGACAGTAAATCGATGCCGCAGCTGATAGGATGATTGGACATAGCAATTATTTCTATGGGAGATCCTGACGACCAACAGTTGGATACTTTTTCTTGCCCCTTATTTGCACGCAAAGGGTCATCACTCAGATTTATCTTTGATAGAGCTATGAAGGAGGAGATGAGGGAAGGAGATGGAGTCAAAAGAGGGGTCTTTATTGCTTGTGGCAGTGACTGGTAGTTAAAGCCTCAGCCTTGCTACTTGGGCCTACCAGGGATTCTATAACTACATTGGTTCCATGTCTAATGACGGGGACATCAAAGGTACCAAGATATCATGGCCGGCGCTAGAATATTTCCAATATGAAGGTATATATGTGGCACTCGTTATGTGAAGCTATACTTCTTTGCGAGGTCCACTTTATAAGCTATCGAGTGGGTTCCAGAGTTCAACAAGCTTCAGCAGAGCTAGACAACAGGCTAAGCCCTGATGAGTGACTAGAAAAGTTATTAAGCTTACGGTTATCCCATTGAAATCCCGTCTTCCCCCGATTTCCCCATGTTGACTGTAGAGCGACTACCTAGCATCCGATGACGGACCACAACAATCCATATATTTCTTCCGCTGATCTGTTCCTCCTGGTGAGTCAATCAGACCTCGTAGCGAACCTCGCAGAGCAATCTTTACCGACACACCACAGGAAAAATGGCGAGAGGATTCCCCGCTCTCTCCTGAGGCCCAGCGGGAACAGATTTTTTCCACATATGTCAGCCTCGGTGTAGATGGTCGGCAGGTACATATACTACCGATTACTCCTTTCAATAAGCACACTAATCAATCATGAGGACCAGCCCTACAGAGATCAGCTCAAACAGAGACGTATTCACAAAGCGTCGGACCTGACGCCCGACGACCGTGAAAAATTAGACCGCTTGCGCCAACCCGCAGCGGAACGAGTTGCTGGTGGGGTAGTATGGCTGCGCACGTGTTATGAGCCCTCAACGGACGCGGCATTTTCTGCGATAAGTGTCCGTTTAAACCAGCAGTTGTTAAGCCCTCTCAACGATGCGTCGTTGTATGACTTCGGGGCCGACTGGTACAAGATCTTCCTCCGCATGCCACAGCTTTTGGAGCATTTCGGATCCGCCGAAGAGTACAAGGAGAGCGTGCAGGAGGCACTGCGACAGGGCATGGAGTGGGAGGCTGAAGATCCGGCGCAGGCAGAGGAGGAAGGGTACGATCCAGAGGAGGACGGACTCCCATGGCCTATGTTCTACGCAGAATACCACCGAGCCCTTGTTATCGGACGGATCCATATCGTTGACAAGAAGACGCTGGCCTCTGAGGGTCGGGACGCCGGCAAGGTTCTCATTGTGTTCTATGATGAGTGTGGCAGAGTGGTGCGCTCGGCTCGTGCGGACGAATGGTATGCCGCGGACATTACGTACCTGGACAATTGCTACCTGGATGAGCATGGGTGCTGGGTGAATGGGAGGATAGGAAAGGATTATGACTGGGGAGGTCCATTAGGTCCACCATATGGCGAGGATGGTGAAGATGAGGCCGATGAGAGCGGTGATGAATGAAATCAAGACGTTCTGGGCAAGTTTGTATGAATATGCCTTCATTATGAGGTGGGACCTGACGTCTCCCTGGTATAGGCACTACCGTATCCAATTATACTGTAGTTTCTAGCCTCTATGTTCTGAGCCCAAGGGACGTGACTATAATATGCTTTCTTGACTCTATGGATACTGCTTGCTCGCTTCTCAGCTCATACATAGAGAAAAGAATATAGTAATGACAGCCACCGTTATTAGTGGAATAATTGGCCATGTTCAGCATATCTTTCACATGCGCCTGACACATGACTCATACCAGCTTTGCTTCGCAGCATAAAAGCATTTGATCTCAGGCTGTCTGCTCTTTCCACCAGAATCAGCCACCCCCATCCTCGCAACACTGCAGTGATCCATGGCCTGTCGAAGATAGTCATCGCATTATCCTAATGACTCCAAAATTAACACCGTTCTAGGTCGCATCGGGAGAATCTCCAAGGCTGTAGGATCGACAGACCCCAGATGTGTTACCGCTGGTCGGACACCGGCAGGTACTAGAGAATCTCTCATTCTTATCCCAAAAACTGACTTCATCAGGAACCTTGCAGTCCCGAGGCATAGGCAGTCCAATACTCCGGAAACCCCGAGCTTGGCCGAACAGGCCCCTATTACTCCAAGTGTCCGGCGGTCTTATTTCCACCACTCGACGGCTGAACAACTCACTCTCTCAGACCACTCGGATTATCTGGATTGGAAGGATGGAATGAGTGTAGGGCCGTGGACGCTCTGACGGACTAAGAGATGGAGGGGTTATCGATCGTCCCCGAGGCACAGTGGACGGACTGATCACAATCGGAGCGGGCCTAAGGGTCATCGAGATGGTATCCGTCTTTTTATCCTGCAGACGCAGAAGCGAGAGTCACCAAGTTGAGTTGACTATGGCTGATCATATGGACGAACAGGACTACTACATTGCAACTGGACCCCTCTCTATGACTGGAGGATACGTTGGAGGATTAGAAAAACCATAGTCAAGACGGAATTCCCATTTCTTTTGCAGTACTACTTGAGGAGCCCTAGGTATTGATAATCTCTGTGATCTTAGGCTGCATCAAGACGCACCACGAATTCGATGTGAATGGTAAACTGGGAAAAATTTCGACTCCGAGCTCTTGTATCTGGCGCAAATTATCTTCGGAGAGTGCCTGCTCTTGGAGATGCTTTTGCATTTCTAAGCACCAATGTTGTCGAAGAAATTCCAGTAGGGGCAAACCGAGCCTTTTGTATTGGTCCATAAATCCTTGCACTAATTGTTCGAATGCATGAACCCCTTCTTCCTCCTCATTTTGTATGGCATCTGGGTCTTGACAAAATTGGGCTTTATCATCCCAATCACAGCAGGTATGTGTGAGGTCCAGATCCTCAAAGGTCATCAGTCGAATAATTGTTTCGTTTACAGCAGAGGATGGGGGTATGAGCTTAAGTAGGTTCAAAGCAATATGAAGGGCCAGTTCCCCTGATTTCTCAGAGGGGGATCTCACTAGGTTTCTTAAAGTGACTGAAAGTGGTGTGCATCCATCCTTCGAGCAAGCGCACCTGCAGCCATCGTGCTTGTTCTCCGTGATTGCATCTTTCAAAAATGTTCGATTTCCCCGGTCTAGATATGCGAATTGAGTATCCACATACTCGGATATCACTGCTTTCCAAGAGACAAGAGTGAGGTCCTGAATCAGAACTATGCTGGCGCTGATGATTTTGTGCATTGTGGGGGTAGCTGTGCCAGGCAGAAGCCGGCTAGGATTCGCACCTTTCGAAACTAGCCACCTCGCCCTGCTGAATAATTGGGAGGGACTCGTTGCTCCGCGAGTGCACATCAAGGGTGTAAGCCCGGCGCTGTCGGGTTCATCGACGTCAGTCAAGCCCGCATCGTACAGTCGTTGCATGTACCGAACGAGCAGGTTAATTAAATGAAAGACGCAGAAGTAGGGCATTTCGACTTGAATTTCACCATCCGGTTTTTGGGTATACTCGCGATACCATGAAGGGCGTAGTCTCTTGGGTACATCGACGCCTTCAGCACGAAGCGACTCGTAGACTTTGGGTGCTATTAGATCAGGCAAAGAGTCGCGGGACACTCCTATTTCTCTCCATTTGTGCTCTGATAGACAAGTAATGGCAAGGTCGCGTAGTTCTGTTCGTCGGAGAATGATCCCATCAATCAGGAGGTCCATTTCCCCATTTTTCGCCTTAATACCAATATATCCAATGCTCTCTGTGGTAAGAACATCGCCCGCCTCAAGCAGCAACTTGAGTGAAGATGTGCAGCCCAAGTCAACAGCAAACATAAGGGCGTGTGGCGGAACAGAATCCATTCCTGCCTCGAGAAGGGTCTTGACACCTGAAGGCCAGCCAATAGCTAGCTCTATTGCCTTATACTTTCCAATTGTATCATTGCCCGACAGCTTGTCTCGACGTACGATTCTTGCGAATGTTTCTTCATCTTCATGAACGAGTGCCAGCGCAGGGGAGGAAACGTAGACAGCTTCTCAATCAGCCTTGACCGAAGAACTTCATGGGCGACGTGACTTACCTTCCGGATGATGCGAGAGGAAGGACTGAATTTCTTTTCGATTGTAATGTGTTAGAGCTTTATCTGTGATATAGCTTCCAGCGTCGATGAGTTCCGACATCACGGGGTGTGACAGATGGTCCGCCCTCAAACCATGTAGAAGAAGGTCAAGAAGGGTATTCTGTGAGGTATTCACGGGGACCCCTGCCTCGATCAAATATCTCGTCACCTTCTGGAAAGAATTGTAAAACTCTTCTGGCCCATATCTTCTAAGCACGATTAACGCGAATACTACCTGAATCGCTATTAGAGGCTTCTTTATCTCTCTAGATGAAATGACTTACTTCTAGGAGTGTGGCTTCATTGGTCTGTGTGTCAGACGGGCGAATGATTCTCTTTTCAAACAGGTAGTGGCAACACTGGACATAATTCCTCTCTAGAACAGGGGTGTCCCGAAAGTATTCCCCTATCAGGGATTCGAAGTCCTGTGTTGTGATTCCTCGATATGTAAGTGTAGGAGCGATTGAGCAGCCGCCCGCACCCTTGGTAATGGACAACGTCAGTGTCAGCGAAAATCGCAAAAGCCGACTCTGAAGTTCAATCTTCTTTTCCATAACTTGGGACTGTTGAGGTGCAGCTGGTCTCGCGCTCAAGGCATAGGCAGAAGAGTCCCGAAGTGCTGCCATGGCATGGCGTTTTCATCCTGCATAGATTGTAACAGACTTGGCGCCACTTGGAGTCTACTGTCAACCAAATGCCTGATCATAGATTCCTATCACCTCATATTAGGCACATGTCGAAGGATCAAGGTGAAGTAACTACCATTCTCTCGAGTTGAGCATTTTGCTCCGAGAGCTTATTTTGAAGAGTGGAATGTTGTGTATGAAGCTCTTGGCTCAAGTTGTTTTGTGCGACAGACCCTTGGTGTAGTAGCAATCTTCACCATTCCGTCAGACTAACAAAATCGAAATGTAACGTGATGCGCAAACTTACACACTCAGTGCTGTATTGATGTTGGCCTGCAAGCTATCCAGCATCCCTGCAGCATCGACCAACGTCTGCTTTCGCAGCGGATATAGTGCCCGTCTCGTAAAGGCCGCCTTCGAACTACTGGAGTGGCAAGGTATCTTGTCGGTCATCTCTTTGAGTTTATCAATCGTGACTTTACTGGCATCCATCAAGTCTTCAATCTGTTTCTGAGACAATGAGTCGACAATTTGTCTATGTTGGAGAACATTCTCGAGGAGTTCCAGGGTTTTCGATAGCCCACTGGCTTTGTGGCTGAGATCTCCGAGATCCTTGTCGTAGCCTTTCCATGAATCGCAGTAAACGATGATTTTCTCGATGACCTGGATACCAAGAGAGATGATTCCAGCTGCGCTGGCGACCACCGACAGCGGTTCTGACATGGCTGCTCAGGATCAAACGAGTTGTTTTGGCAGGAAAAATTTCTGGCGTATTATTGATATATAGTCATTATTCAGATCGATCTTTGATAAAGCTCCGAAGGAAGAGATGAGGAAAGGGGATAGAGTCAGAAGAGGCAAGGCAACCTTGATGTCCTGATGAGTGTGTTGTTGTGAGGCATCCTCGGCCTGGAGTCTGTTGACAACTCGCTTCACCCAGGTCACATGGCCCACAGTCAGTTCGATAGTCATCTCCAGCATCAAAATTCTCTATTACAATTGACTCTGAGAGTCATTGAGTATCATCGTTCGTTGTTGTCAACGCTGACCACCTGACTCCGTGTTATCATACCTCACAGGTCGGTCACCTTACGGTGTGTATCAGGTCCATTCCTTTTTGGATAGTATGCTCTACTTGTTTTGATTACTCTAATCCTTGAGGAGCATTCTTGCGATAACAGAATCTCCAAGTACTGTGCTGGTATGATCCCCACATGGCATGACTGATCCCTGACTAAAGACAAAACTACAAGATGTCCTCACTGACATCCTCGCTCGCAAGATCAACCCTCGTCTCCCGAAACTTCCTCGCGGGAACCTTGTTTTTAAACAAGATATCCACCTCTGCAAATGTACGGTTCTTCGTCTCTGGGAGCCGGAAGTACGCCCAAACAAGACTTAGTCCCATGATTCCACCAAAGAAAAACCCGCACTTGGCTCCCCAGTTCCATGCCGCCTGTTGCATCATACGCGGCGCGAGCTGGCCATACACCAAGACACCGACGTTATAAAGCGCTCGCGCGAGACCGACGCTCTTCGTGCGCAGGGTGTTGGAAGGGATTTCAGTGACGATGGTGTAGATGATGGGACCGATGGTGATGAAGAAGACAAAGTACTCGATCAGCAAGATGGTACCGATACCGTATCCGATCTTGGGATGGGCCTTGCGACTCACAATACCCAGAAAGCCAATCAGGATAGTTGTCGAGGCCATGAAGAAGGTTCCAGACAGTAGGAGTGTGCGGCGTCCCACGCGCGGGACCAGACACCAGGCAATGCCAACGCCTACGATGGCTAGTGCATACTCGCCAATACCAAAGTCGAAGGATGATGTTGCGGGGAGGCCGGACTGCTCGAGGAAATAGACAATGTACGCCACCAGCGGGGCGCAGAGTTCCTGGATGAGATAGGTGAAGACGGTGATTTCCGTGCGGCGGCGGTCAACCCCCCTGAACAGATCCCAGTAGGAGCTGGACGCGTTCATCTCATCCTCAATCTTGACCGTGTGCAGCATCATGGCTAGTGTGTCGGCGATCTCCTCTTCACTTGCGTCTTTGGTCCGCAGCCGGCGGAGTGACTTGGTAGCGTCCTCGGTGCGGCCCTTGCGGATCAGCCACCACGGCGATTCGGGGGCGAGGTAGATTCCGATGGCGAGGGGGATGGGTAGAGCCCACTGCAGCGCAAAGGGGATGCGATACGCCCATTGGCCAGACATGCTCAAAAAACCACGTAGGACACTAGTCCCCGTGAGGTAACCGATACTCCAGGCCAGCGAGACCAGCATGGTGAGGTAGGGGCGCAGCACGTTGGGGCATACCTCGGCTGCGTAAGTGGTGGTGATCGTCTGGAAGACACCCCAGGGTAGACCCAAGAGGACCTCCGCGCCGATGTACATGTAGATGTCGGTTGCAAAGAATTGCAAGAAAATAAAACACATCATGAGGAAGAGCGAACCCATCATCAACCAGCGGTAGCCGAACCAATCGCACAGCAGACCATTAAGCAGAAGGCCGACAATCTCGCCAGCATTGACTCCATTGCTGACGGCAGCTTGCAGGTTTGCTGGAATCTGGTAGGTCCCATTTTTGGTGAGAACGCCATATCTCCGCTGGAAGGCCGGGAAAGCCATGAACCCGCTGATGAAGGAATGGTCGAAGCCTTCCATGATGAGTGCAGAGGAGAACCAGATGGACCAGAAGACCGCCTTGGGGTACTTGTGCAGCCCCTCCCGCAGGCCCATTGCGTGCTCATCGTCTGTGGCTTTTTGCGCGCCCTTGACAATGTCTTCGGCGGCGACATATTGTTCCTCGTCTTTCTCCCGGACCACCGTAACGGTGGTGGGATCTGTCACGTCTTCTTGGTGAACGGCCATTTTGTACGCGAAAAGATTTCACTCGAGTATGACCTTTATCCAAGAAGCCAAGGGAGACCAATCTTTATAAGCGTCGCCAAGTAGAACCTTGTGACGCTTGTCTGTGCCCATTCCTTATGATTTTCGCGTCTCCATTCTGTCTGGTGGAAATCCGGGGAAGTGGAGCCGCTCATGATTGACTTTGCGGGGAAACAACCGCTTCGGCACATAATACACCGAAAAAGATGAGCCAACAAAAGCTAAAAAGGCATCATCCTATGTGAATGAAGACAGGTCGCGGGGATTGAATCCTTTTGCGGGAGGAAATAGGCCGATCGGGCTGTGGGCGCCGTCTCGCAGGTCAGGAGGGATGACTACAAGTGAGTGGCGCAACCTCTGTCTCACCCTGGTCACTTACTGGAATTGACAGAGTCAGAGGCGTCAATCTTTCACCGACGGTTAATCAACAATGACGGGCAATTTGCGGTGGCTGGCTAACTATGGCCATGACTCGCTGTCAAACGGAGTCTCCTTTGGTATGCCTTGGCCAAAAGGTCTGTATCAGCCTGGTCAGGTTTTTGTCATTGAAGGCAATGGTCAGGAATATACTCTAGATTCGAGAGAAATTGCCTACTGGGCTGACGGGTCACTCAAATGGACGGCACACTCGGTCAGTGGACACGTTGGGTACAGCGAGGAGTACACTGTCAAAGGCTCCTCCAGATCTAAGGACAAGGATGCCGGTGTTGTCATCGAGAAAGGCGATGCAAGTATCACAGTCACTACGCGCCTTGGTCTGCAGGTCATATTTGCATGCTCAGGAAGTTCATCGTTGTTCGAAAGCGTTTCACTGTATGGCCGCGCTGTGTGTTCTGGCGCCACTCTTGTCGCGTCCGTCGATCACAAGGAGTATTCGACCATTGTCAGCAAAGTTGAAGTGGAGAATGCTACGTCCTCCAGAGTAGTCATCAAAGTCTCTGGGACGATGGCCTCCCCTGGCGCTGAGCACCTCCCGTTCGATGTGCGGGTCTATATATACTCCGGCGCGTTACCCATCAAGATCCTGCATTCTTTCGTCCACGATCTGGACGCAGATGAACCTCTAACATCACTGGGAATTCGTTTCTCAGTCCCCTTAGAGAAAACGGAGCTATATAACCGGCACGTTCGTTTTGCAGGTTCCGATGGAGGCATCCTCAAGGAAGAAGTCCAAGGACTGTCTGGATTACGACACGGCCCAACAGTCACCAACCGGATTGATCAAACAGCAGGACGAGCTGTCATTCTCAAGCAAGAAGAGTGGATCAAGACAGATCTCTCTCAAGCTCTATCATACATTCCGTCCTTTGACTCCTACACCCTCTCGCAGCTATCCTCCGACGGCTTCACCATCAAGAAACGGACGAAAAAGGGCTGCTCCTGGGTCAAGGTGACCGGCGGTGGTCGCGCAGATGGGACCGTGTATCTAGGCTCAGCCAGACACGGCGGCGTAGCCGTTGGCATGTCCGACTTCTGGGAACGGTACCCGACTCAGCTCGACCTGGCCAAGCTCACTCAGGGCGAGAGTGCGATCACCGTGTGGCTTTATTCTCCCCTTGCAGAACCGCTCGATACTTCCCCATACCATGATGGACTCGGGCTGGACTCATACGAGAAACAGCTGCATGCACTCGACGTCACATACGAAGACTACGAACCGGGCTTTGCCACTGCCAACGGTATCGGAAGGACGAACCAATTCTTCCTCAAGCCGTACACATCTACCCCTTCCAACCAGGAACTGAGCTCTTTCTCGGCTCTCGTTAGAAATCCTCCGCGTCTAGTACCAACAACCGAGTACATGCACTCCACTGGCGTCTTCCACGGCTGCTGGTCACCCGCCCACAAACAGCCTCCGCCGGCGCAAGAAATGGCCATCGAGCACAACCTCGACCTTTTATTCAGCCACTATCAGAGACAGATAGAGCAACACCGCTGGTACGGCTTCTGGGACCACGGGGACGTGCAGCACACCTACGACCCCTACCGGCACGCCTGGCGCTACGACGTAGGCGGCTTCGCCTGGGACAACTCGGAGCTCTCGACCGATCTCTGGCTGTGGCTATACTTCCTGCATACCGGTCGCGGAGATGTGTTTAGGACGGCCGAGGCAATGACCAGACACACCAGCGAGGTAGACGTGTACCACGCAGGCCGGTTCAAGGGTTTCGGCACGCGGCATGGCGTCCAGCATTTCAGCGATAGTTCGAAGCAGCTTCGTATCTCGAATGTGCTCTACAGGCGGATATACTTTTACTTGACCGGCGATGAACGCACGGGCGATTTGATTTCTGAGCTGCAGGACTGTCAATTCGCCCTAATGACTCTCGACTCGCACCGTAAAGTGCAAGCACACGCTGATGTCCCAGAGGGCTTCGCCATGACGAACATCGGTCTTGATTGTGGTGCACTCGCGGCAGCATGGTTGACGGCGTGGGAACGACGGACTGAAGACTGGGAACATCCCCGCGCCCTCTTGATCAAATTGTTAGACGGCATCGCCGGCCTGAAACACGGAATCGGCAACAACGCCATCCTCCTGAACCCAACCACGGGAGAGATCCGAGAATGTCCCCCGCCAACGCCGGAGTACGCCATCTCCCACCTCTCCATGCTCTTCGGGTTCCCCGAGACATTTGTTGAGCTTCTTGACTACGCGCGCGACATGCACCCCGCCACCGTCAACAACTTTATGGCCCTATGGCTCTCCTATTGCAAAGCGTATAATGGGGGGCCTGAAGTCCAGCGTAGGGAATTCGGGTTCGAGTTTCCGGGCCATGCGACCTGGCGACAGAGTCATTCTACGCTTACGGCGTTTGCGGCCGTTCAGCTGAAGAGTGAGGACCTGGCTCGCGCGGCTTGGGACCAGTTCTTCCACACTGATGGGTACACGGAGAGTCATGAGTGGAGAGTTGTCGAGACTGCGCCGCCCGAGTACTTTACGCAGGGGGAGGAGGCTGCTTGGATTACGACGAACGAGGCAGCGAGGTATGGGGTGTCTGCCATCTTCAATCTGGCAAATATCCGGGAGTACTTGAAGCCATAGGGATCGAATCTTAGAGATGGACTAGGAATTCTAAAGTCAATCCTGTGATCTAATCAGCCGAATTGCAATACCAAATGTCAAATATAAGACCTCCACAGCATTACACTATTCAGCCCAGCACCATGTCCGGTTACTGAGGCTAATACCTCCTCCTCTTTCGACCAGACGTATCCTCCTCATGCCAATCCACCTTGCACCCCTCTTCCCCATATTCCCGGTCACAGCACGGATAATAGAATTTGTCCGGATACTCCTGCCGCATCTCCTCCGTATTAACATCACCACGCATATACTCGTCATGCTCCGCCCACGCATCGTCATCGGGCTCGGGGGGTGCTACGCTCCATCCATCAGCCCGTCATCACCGACGAACCACACTCGAGGGTCCCACACATACCAGGGTGATAGTAACAGCTCTCCCGATCATTCAGCGTGACATCATACTCCGCCTCACACTGCACACACACCGCATACCGCGGACGAAGCCTCTTCCTCGCCGCGGCTACCGGCACCGGCGGCGCTCTGACTTCCAGGATCCCGTCTGCGGGTTCGGGCTCGCCCGCCTGCTCGCTTCCAGTCAGTGGGGGTTAGACTGGTAGGGGCTGCGTTCGTGGCCTACGCTTGTTTCCGACGCTGCGTCTGAATCGAAGTCGGACTCTGAGTCTGAGTTTGAGTCGGCGTCGTCGCGTTCCACGGCGACCTGGTCCTCGGTCACGAGCAGGGTGTCGGAGACGATTGAGATCGCCGGCGGGAGCAGCCGGCATAAGTCGCGGATGATATGCCGTAGCCGCGACGAGGACGCGGCGTTGAGGGCCTTGTTGAATTGTGCGATGAAGTCTTCGGGGTTGGCGATAGCGGGATTCACCATGTTGGCTGGGATTCTGCGCGATTTCTACCCGGATATGGTTGCGGTGTTCTCTGCACTGTAGAAGTGGTTGATATTGAATAATAATACCACTAGGCCAAAAAGGCGTCCGGACGATGTACTCGTCAGTCTAGGGTTTCATATCCATAGTCATAGTGGTATCTTATTCCAACAGGTTGATATTGGCTGGGGACGCGTATATTGATGTTGTTGCGGCGTGAGGATACGGTCTTGGCGCTATGTACTCCGTGATCTATGGGATTCGCGTTGGTGTGGAGGTCGTGTTGGATTGGAGTAGATGGATTTGGGCTGGAAGGTTCAATAGTCAACGCGCTCATCGACGCGAAGTACGGAGTATTCATTTTCGTAGCTATTATACTCGCTGGGCCCATTCCAGCAATGCAGGCATAGTTCTATCTTTTTCCCATACATGTGGTCCACGTTACCTCTTTAGTCTGCCAAACGCCAGAAACAAGCATTCAAATAACCAATCTATCAACCAGCTGACGCCTTTTACCGGCGTCAGCCACGCCATCTCAATCTAATGGACGGGGAGTTTCACCTCTCGGTGGCTCAGGTCGTGGCGATCCTTGAACACCTCGGTGATCTCTTCGAGGCAGCCGGCCGAGGCAGCGAAGAAGCCCAGGAAGGTCTTGCTGGGCGCAAGCACTCGGCTCAGATACTCGGGGTGGAATTGCACACCGACGAACCACTTGTGGTCCTTGAGCTCGATTATCTCCATACGCTTGCCGCTGTCGTCCTTGCCGACAAAGGTCAGACCAGCCTGTTCGAGCCGGTCGACCAGTTCGGGGTTGACCTCGTAACGGTGACGGTGTCTCTCCCAGATCTCCTGCTTGTCTCCGTACAGCTTCCGCAGACGGGACCACTCGGTGCCGGGCTGGAAGTGGGTGGCCCGCTTGCCGAGTCGCATGGTGCCTCCCATCTTGGTCTTGTCGATCTCAGGCATGTAGACGATCGCAGAATGCTCGCAGTTCTCGTGGAACTCCTCGCTACCAGCCCCAGTCAATCCGCACATATTGCGAGCGTACTCAATCACGGCCACTTGCATACCCAGGCAAACACCGAGGTAAGGAACATTGTTCGTACGGGCCCATTGGGCACTCTTGATCATACCCTCGGTACCACGCTCGCCGAAACCGCCCTGAACATAAAATTAGAGCCATTCGCCTGGTTTTTATGGGGAAAACCTACAGGAACCAGAATTCCGTTGGCGGTTGAAACCGAGTGCCAAGCCTTGTAGTACTCGGCCGGGTTTGTCTCCTTGTGCTCGTCCTCCAGGTGAGAGGACTCGACCCAAATCAGATCGAGCTTCTTCTTGCAATGCATGGCAGAGTGCTCGAGCGCCTTGCTCACACTCATATATGAATCATGCAGACTGGTGTACTTGCCGACAAGGGCGATAGAGACGGTCTCAAAGACACGGTCCTGGCTAATGGCAAGACCCTGCCATTCCTGCCAGATCACCTTACCCTGCTCGATGAGCTTGGGGTCCTTCGGAACCGAGTCAATGTGCAACAGTTCTTTGATGGTGTTGAGGAAGCCCTGCTTCTCCAGGAGAATTGGCACCTGATAAGTGGTCGACACGTTGTGAACTCCAACAACCTGATCCCGCTCTACCTGGCAGGCGTTGGCGATTTTCTGGATGGTTCCCTCCTCAAGAGGCGTCTCGCAGCGGCAGGCGATCAGATCCGGTCTGAGACCAGCACTGCGAACATCGCTAATGGCCCTCTGGGTAGGCTTGGTCTTTTGCTCCGAGCCGATCAGAGGGACGTAGCTGACGTGAATCTCCAAGAAGTTGTTCTTGCCGGCCCGTCGTTGGAGCTGACTCATAGCCTCAACGAAAGGTGCACTTTCAATGTCTCCAACAGTACCACCCAACTCGATGATGCAAACGTCTGGTTCCCGCCCTGACTCGTCCACGGGAACCTTGGCAACCCGTTCCACCCAGTTCTGGATCTCATTGGTGAGGTGCGGCACGATCTGAACTGTCTTTCCGAGATAGTCGCCGCGACGCTCCTTCTCAATGACGTGTTGGTAGATCTTTCCAGTGGTGATGTTATTATCCCGCCCGAGAGTCACTCCGAGGTAGCGCTCGTAGTTTCCGAGGTCGAGGTCAGCCTCACCTCCGTCGTCGAGAACGAAACATTCTCCGTGTCTTTGATGCGTCAACGTCAATTTCAAAGAGATCAAGTGAGCATTGGAGGTGGGACCAACTCTAGAGGGTTCATAAGACCGGCATCCGGATTGAGGTAAGGATCAATCTTGATACTCGAGACGGCCAGACCGGCAGTCTTAAGCAGCAACCCGCAACTGCTAGCGATGATGCCTTTGCCGACACCAGAAATGACACCTGCCAGAGTCAGCGAAAGCGTTATGGCAAAAAGACACGGAAAATTATTACCTCCAGAGACCAGAACGTACTTCATCTTGGCAAATTGAGATCAGACAGTATTATTCAATGGTAGCCCTCCTGGTAAAAACCAGGGAAGGGGGGGAAGAGAAAAAGAGAGAGAGAAAGGTTGCGGCGGGTCCACTGCAGTCTATGAAAGAAAAAAAAAAAAAGTGGATATATCACGTGTTCAGATCTCAGCAGCTTATCTTATCGTCAATCTGGGGAACTCAACAAGGCAACATTAGAGGGTCTTGCAGGCAACAGGAGGAATTTATGAGTCATGATAGAAATCTCGGATTCCCAGAGAGAATATGGTCAAGTTTTCTGCGATAGCTGATCCGAATTGGTTTTATTCAAAACAAGTTGTTTTTGATATCTCTCGTGCCCGATCTATCTCAAAAGGGCGGAACTAACAAGATCTCATGCTTTGATATTGAATGCCGATCTGGCAAATCGAGAGTTCGAGACCGATCGATTCGGTGGTAGACTAGTATGTTAAGTTTGCATGCTAGGGATGATATGACCTTCTTTCGAGTCTATCTGCTTTTGGTACAATGTGCAATGTAATCTAGTTCCTGTATGAACAAAAGTGAAGAAAAATTATGCGTGATCTTCGCCCGGCCAAACCAAACCCCAAGAATCAACAATGACGGTGGTGAAAATACGGAAACATAATATATTTTCAAGTCAACGCAAGAGACAAAAGAAAGCCAAATGATCGCTATGATAACAAGGCAATGCAAATCATTGCTTCGACGGCTGGAGGAATTTGGGCCATTTATCAGCCTGAGGGATATAGACACGACCAATGTTTTCGTCCAGGTCGAGGATGAGCTTCAGAGCGTTTCTTGATCTCAAATAAGGGAGAGGCTCCTTGGAACTCTGTAACCCGACGCCGGGCTCAACCTGTCCCGAGGGAGAAACATCGACTTGAGAGCCGGGCATGGGAAGCCATTTCTGCAGGAGTTCATAGGCAGCCAGGGTGAAACCGAATTGCGGTGACGAACGAACGATACGAGCGGGACCACCCTTGAAGAAAGCCCTGAAACCTTCGTCCCTCCAGATGGTGGCCGCACAATGGCGCAAGCCGTTGTAACGAACGTCTCCTTTGCGAGCTTCGACTTGCAGGCGGGTCTTGATCACATCGCAGGGTGTGGTAAGATAAGCCGCAGGCATACCGGCAATGGCACCGGCAGTGAGCAGCTGGACAATGCCAAGTCTGTGGGTTTGAGACTCGCCGAAGAGGTCGCTCTTAAGATGGGCATAGGTGGGGAAGTAGATGGCAGAGAAGGGAACTAAAGACCGAAAGCGTTAGAGAGCATCTTCACAAAGTTGGAAGGAGTGAGTCGGTTCGTTCTTACCATCACGGAGCAAGCAAGCGCTGGCACCCTTGTACAAGCCCACCAGACCCAGATTTTTCACAATCCACATGGCCGAGCGACGGGGAGCTCCCTCGACAGTCTTGGCAATTTCACCCTGAACCTGCAGGCGGATCTTGACAATCTCGAGGGGGTTTGTGAAGATCTGATACAAAAGATGAATTAGAACGGGCTCCCAGAGTCAGGTGAAATCTCAATAAAACTTACAACTTGGCAAGCACCAGCGGTACCACCAGCCAGAATCTCATAGGGATACCAGATTTTGCCGTTTTCCTTGTTGGTGAAGTGGCCGCGGACGAGATCGTTCACGGTCAGCTTGATAGCCTTTTCCGGAGCAACACCGATCAATTGAGGCAAGACTCCAGAATACAGACCTAGGAAGCCCTCATTGCGAATGACTTTTCTGAAACAATCAAGCGAGTTGTTGTATAGTCTTTCGCCAACACGTGTCGAACGTTGGTTCTGCATACGCGTCTTGACAAGATCGATGGGGTAAACCATGAAGGCACCGAAAGCACCTGCAAGACTGCCGAGGGCGAAATGGTGAACCGATTCCAGAACACCGTGCAAGACCGACCTGGTCTTTTCAGCTGCGACTTGAGCGGTGGTTGATGCAGAGGAGATAGCCTGACCCGCCAGAGCCAAAGGCATACGCCAGGAGGCATCAATGACCTTGGCGAAATCCTTCTGAGATAGTCGACCGGAAGGCGCATCGAGGCCAGCGAAATGGAAGAGGATATCCGCCTCCATTGGTGTGAAAAGGGAGAATCGAGTAACGCGAGCAGCTTCGTTGAGGAAGTCGGCGCGTGTAATCTTGCCATCTTCGCTCTTTTGGGTCGCTTCGCGCACAATAACGTCGATCATATCCATTTCGCGCATGACATTCTGGAAGGCACGAACGGTAGCGTACGAGATCTTGGTGCCCGCCGAGATGTTGCACAGACTGGGAAGGTTCTCCAGGACATAATCAGACAGCTTGTGTTTCGAGGTCTCGAGGATGATACGCTGGAAATCCTCAGGCTCGATGTAACCGTCGCCATCCTTGTCGAAGATGTGGAAAGCTTGCCGAATGCGCTCGCCCTGCAAGCCTCGGAGCATCTGGGCAAACTGGGGGTACGTCATGTCGTGCCGGGCCTTGCTCCGTCCAGAGTACAGGGAAGCCCACTCCGAATTCCAATCGAAAGGTATACTGTCACTGGTCTTGTTCATGTTGTACAGGTTCTTGAAGGTGTCCCATTTCACCGTGCCTGTCCCATCCAGATCGAAGAGTCGGAAGGCAATCTCATATTCGGCATCGGGTTTGGTCAGGAGGTTTTCGAAGGTCGCCCAGTCACCGAGGCTGAGCTTGCCGGCTCTTCGCTTGTCGGCGACTCTGAAGAGGAGCCCATAGTGTTCGCGCTTGATTTTGTGCTATCAATTGCAAAAAGCAAGGATGTTAGTCATATTTTGGAGTCCAACCCGGGATGATCAGCGCGATGACACATCGCATAGTGGGCGAAGAATCAGAGGGGAAACAGGCCGCGAAACTCACATAATCCTCATTCTTTGGCGCAATAGCATTGATAAAGTCATCCTCCGTCATATAAAACTCGCCAGTACTTTCATCTTTCCTTGCATGGTGAAAGAAATGATGCTTCACCTGTTGCGACAGCTGGGGCTCCTCTGAGCTGCCGAGCAAGGACTCCTTGACAGCTTCTTTGACGGTCATTGTCTCATGCAAATATCACACACAAACTACTGAATCAATGCAACCAATTCCCTCAACGATCCAAAATCCAAGAAGAAGCAAAAGAGAAGGGAAGTCTGACGGACTCCAATGTGGGTAAGGACGGGGTTATGAAGGGGTTGGGACCAGATAAATGTGTGGAGAAATAGAATTACTAGAACAAAGAGGGAGAGAAGGGCAAAAAAAAAGAATGGGGAGCACGATGACAATTGACAACAGATCGATCTATCACTTAGGCAGTCGAAATAATAAATTAAACAATGCAGATCTGGACTGGTTCTAAGAATTCTTCTGTGTTGTCTACAAGAGAGATCTTTTTTTTCTATCTTGACTTTCTCTCATAAGCCGGGTAAAAAAGTTTTTCTTTGGAGGATGAGACTGATTATTTTGCCTCTTAAGAATGAGGCGCGAATAGGAAAAAGCAAAAGAAAAAATAAAAAAAGGAACAAGTGCTTCACCGCCTCTGGAACGAGTAAATTACCCGGTGAGTGGTCGGAGTTGGGACCGAACACCTCATTGCCTCAGGCCATGAGGCCAGTCGCTTCTCCGCAGTACCTTTCCCATGATCATTGACCAACTCTGCTTGGAAGGAAGGTCTACTGTGTTCTTTGATCTTCTATGGCATATCCCGCAGATCTATATCAGTCCTTTTCAAGCGGCAGGACATATACATCCTAAGCAACTATTCGCATGCCACGAGCCAGGGGCAGATGGTGAGCCACGGTAAACTCCGGAACGCACGACATCCACTGATTCGATAACCAGATCGAGGCAGGTGACCCTAGAGAAAAACCCGCCAGGAGACCTCGCAGGCCGAGGATGAGCTCGTAGGAGTAAATATCCGATTTAGATCATTAGATGACTATACTCAGATCTGTACATATCATCTCTTGATTCACGGGAGATATACAAAGAAACAAATATGATGGTCTCGTAGATCGAAGACTATCATCAAGGGTCAGCTTATCCCTTGTTTCTACCTGGTTTCTGGAAGAACAGGCACAGAATCGGAGGTCCTTCACATGACACACTCATCTGACAGTCGCATTCCTGCCCCCAACTTCGGCCCGATGTGGGATTCGCGTCTTGGCCTCGTCTCCGTCTTCGGTGCGGAGTAGTTTAGTACAGCGGGTCCAGAATTGGAGAATTCCAGCACTCTGAGTCTGAGTCTCTGACTGTACAGTGGAACACGGCGTCCGGTTGCTGCAGAGTAGATATCTACAGGCTGTGGAGCACGAAGCAAATGCATATGCATTGTCCTTTTCATATATCAACAATTTTTTCAAACGAATAAGGGTTTGACAACTTATCCCACCCCTGCTTCTGGTAGTTGTTTACCAGGCAAGGGTGTAGGACTATGCCCGCGGGATTTACCCCAAGGGAGCTCACCGGCCAACATGGCAGGCAGCGCTCGGTCATTTCGGTGCAGCTCCGAATTGTGCTTCAGTTTCATGCAGTTCTTCAGCTTGGGTTCTTAAGTTCTTCGGGTTTGATTGTTGATATGGATAAGGTAGTCAGTCTGCTGAAGGGGAATCCGATGGATCAGATGTGTGATCTATGCTGTGACATTCAATCTTCCAGTTTCTAGAAGCAGTACAAGTCTGCTAGAATCGATCAAATAGTCGTACCAGACAAAGATATGCAGTGCATAAAAGATAGGGTGATTCATTAGTCTGCATTAGTTAGCTTATCGATAACGTCAGTATCAACACCTCTATTTACCTGAGGAGCTCATCTCCCACGGATGCTGCGAGTACTTGTACACGAATATCCTTTGGTCTCGGGTTTTGGTGGCAAGCAGCTATTGATGGTTGTAACCCTGTATGGCTGATGATATCTGAAGCGTCCGATGTTATTATCAATGCTGTTACCGTGTGGTCAGCCGAGCCCTACAGTATGTGCGCAAAAAATATATTCAACTTTCGTGGATCTCCAATTTTGAAGGTCAGTCCAAAGACTTCTGTGAGACTTAAGTTTGAATGTCGTTCAGAAGGCGACGACTGCCTCTGGACTGAGCTCAATAATAATGTTGCCTAAGAAGTAAAGAAAGAATATGATTGACTGCCTCTTCCCAACCACTATTGCTCCGGCTTCTCAATGCGAAGCAACCTGAACAATGCCCGCTCCATCGGTAACAAAACCAACATGGCATGGTTGAATCTAAACGCCGTCAAGGTCACGCAAACTCCAACGAGGGCATCCAAAAGGAAATGGTTTGCCGTTGCGACAATTGTCAGGCCCATCATCATGGGCCAGAGCGGCGCAACCAGGCGAATGAACCAGTGGGGACTGTATCGCAACAAGCACAGAGCAATGAAAACAGAGTTACCAAAATGAAGCGAAGGCATTGCTGCAATTGTGAGCTGGAACTTGTTTTGTGTCCAAGCGGAGCCGGCACTGTTGCTATGCAGAATATCAACGAAGCCGTACTCCTCCGGCAGTAGTCGCGGCGGACTGCATCGCCAAAGAGTGAGGATCGTAAATGCTATCACATTTTCGAGAGCCAGAGTGCGGCGGACCCCTTGATACTTCTCTCGTTGGAAGAAAGTATAGCCATAGACGATGAAGACGACGCCCAATAGAATGTGCGAGTAGTATACTCTAGCGAGAACAGCCGTTAGCCACGGCACGCGATTGAGGACGAACCGTTGAACCCGTAGCTCGACATCTAGGTGGAAGAAATGTTCTAGACTGAGGATCTGATGCGCATGATGCCTGGCCGTCTCAAAAATAGGTTCATTGTCGCTGATCGCTCGGGCGGAGATCGCGCGCAATCCTTGGTAGATCTGGGCTACTGTCAGATCGTTCTCATGTCACAGACCAGGGAAGAGAAAAAAAGAATGATGTCGTACCCAATATGTAAGTAGCCAATACCATATCTCTATAAGAAACGGAAAATGGGCGAGGATTCGTGTTTGGATGTTAGGGCGACCCTTGGATGACCTCCTTGGTTTTAGATCCTCGCAGTCTTCGTCCTCAAGCAACGGTGTCTCAACGCAAGGTGTCTCGGAGAACCTGATGTATTTGCGACGGTTGATGAGGGTGCCAGTGGTAAAGACGACCACAATCGCTGCAGTCACAAATAGTCAGTCAATCCTGTCTGTCGTGATTGTCGGAGGTTGTAGCGGTTAACTTACCGGCGGGCTCAAGAAGAATCCCCAAGGCGCCCATGATGATACTGTCGACTCTGTCCACGGGTAGCTTGTTCAAGGATCATTAGGAGTAATCAGTCCTAAGAAATATCTAAGGTGTAACCTGTCGGCTCAGTACGGATCTGGCAGTCTTGCACACGACAGTTGTGTGCCACCAATTGGCTGTGGCTGACGTCACCTCCAGACCCTCTGCAAACGAGGGAGAGACAAATGGATAAAACCTGAGGTTAGGCTGGACGCTCGAACAGCAGTTCAGCACTAGGTAAGATGTTGTTCTGCATAGAATACAAAAGAATGAGGACTGTAAGTCGATATGATGGCAAGCCTGAGCTCAAGAGGCCGTGTGCTCAGTTGCTGTCGATATGGACGTCTTTCACTATCTGCATTAAGCAAGTACCTAAAATGCACCTTCGACCTTGTGTGATAACGTGACAATGATGGTTGCGCTGCGCATTCCTCGCTTACCTACCCAGACACTCATATCATGAGCTTCTTTCCAACGATTGCCTCTTCTGCTCAGTAAGCAGGAGTGGTCAAGTACTGTCGACACCTGTCTTAACAGTCAATGCGCATTGTCCGCTTGATGAACCACCTGGAATGAATTAGTTACATCTTCTCGGATAGATAATGCCCCTATATAGGGATCGCTAAACATATGCTTCCGACGGAAGCTGAGAGATCGATGTCTGTGCATCATGCGAGATTTATGTCCTTGATTGCTCGAAAGAAGTCAGACAAGACCAAACTGTTCAATTGTTCAATCCACAGCAGTGTTTCCTTACCGACAGTTTCAACTCCTTCATTCCACTCACTCCATCCTTGCGACTTCGCAAAAGATGATTACCCAAGCATGTCGCATCATACAAGGACATTGCTGGGGCGGCTTGAAAGTGCCGAGTTCCATCAAGCTGCTTGTACGACTCGCTCCAACAGACGGTCAGACATGGTGGATCTTACTCCATTTTCATGTTAGCAAAGCAGTCTAGTAGTCTGCCGGCTCGCGAATGATTTGGTGTTAAAATGCTTGTTGTCTCCTCCCAGGCGACTCAGAAATCCAAGGTGCTGATATTGCCAAGGAGCCGGCGATGCAGCTAATTTGATACGCGAGGTGGACTGCGAGCCATCTAGTATTATTGTTTGCTGTCCATTCTCTTTCCGTCGCGTCCAAAATCATATCATCTATCGGCACCGTTACCTCTAACTCCTAACCGATATCACTGTTGACATCATGTCACTGCTGTCGCTGCCGGATGATCTTCTCCTTCAAATTGTTTCATATCTTGCATCACACGCCCATGTCGCGTCACTGTCTTCGCAATGTCGACGACTATATCGTCTCTGTGACATGCCAGATTGCAGGAAGTACCGGCGAGTGATCCTTCGCACAACGGATGATTGTATCCGAGGTTTCCAAATGCTGCAGTCAATCTTGCAAACTCCTCGCTTCGGCACCTATGTCCGACATCTCGAGTTTGATCGATCTCCGTCCCTTGGGGACGTACAAGCCCAAATATATCTCGATCTAGGTCCGCCTCAGGTATCATTGCCGCCTGAGAATTTGTCTCGGTTTAAAAGGGCAATAGATAGAGCAGGATTCGATATCAATGAGGCTGATCGAGTCCTGAACGTTCTACTACAGGATCTCAAAAATCGGAGTATATTTCACCAAGAGAAAGACGATCGGCCTAGAGTCAGCGCTCACTATAAGAGAATTCACGATGCTTCGCGATTGCCATTCTATGCTCAAGCATTAGCCTCTCTACTGGTATCAGTTTCACCCGGATTAGAGTCACTGACACTCTGCCCACTTGGACAGGAGCCACCGAGATACGCAAGGATGCAAAGGGAGGCCGAAGGTGCTGTCTTCAGCCCAACCGGATTATTCTTCAAACACTTTCTTGACCGTGCCAATGGTAGAGGCCATAATCTGCCCTTCCTACAGAAACTTCGAACCGTGAGGTTCCTTATCAACTCTACTGCAAAGTATGATCCAGACGAGTATCAGCCCTTCGATCTCTATGGTAGTTTGAACTTGATCCGCCGTTTGCCAGCCATCGAGTCGGTGCGTGTTGATGGGATCATGGAGCCTATACGGTCGAGCATAGAACTTCCACCGCGAACAGCCAATTACAGCAAGATCGAAATAAGGCACTCAAGCATGGATTATCCATACCTCATTCATACAATTAGATCCGCCAAAACTCTAAGAGAGTTTACCTATACTATTGGAGGCCATGGAAGCAACAACGACAGTATCGCCATGTTGAACCCTGATGATCTATTTCGGACCCTGCTAGAGTACTGGGACTCTCTCGAATACCTGGATCTTGATGTTGAGGCTGAGCTTTCACTTAAAGAAATTTTCGACCCCAATGTAGGTCGACTATTCTTCGGTGACTATCGTTCCTGGTATGGGCCGGCCTATTTTTATGAGTGGGAGGGAGAGCTCGGCGAACGACCTGAAGACAACATTCTTCTAACAGAGAGACCACCTCCGACCTGCTGTTTTCTGCGCAGGTTCACCAAATTGAGGAGCCTTAGCATAGGAATTCATTTATTGTACTACTTTGCCAGGGGCATTGACAACGATCGGCTGAGTGAGGAAGTATTCTCACTTGCGGACCGGCTACCACCGAATCTAGAGTCGTTACGGATTTATGGGTATGCAAAGGGAATGGAACCGTGGGTTGAGGGCCTTCCACCGCACATTTTTGATGATATGCTGTCGCAGTTGGTTAAGGAGAAGGACGAGAAGCTGCCACTCCTGACGCATATCGCGGGAATCGAAGAATTGATTGATCATGCAGCGACGCTTCGGCGCCCGGTGAACCCAGAGGATGTATGGAAGCGAGAAGTCGATCAATGGACGGAGTATGAATATTGATTCGTCTGTTGGTATTTCTTCTCGTTGTTTCTGAGATTCCGTTTGCTATCGACTCTTAGCTTTGTGGGACGGGTCAAACCAGAGCCATTGACTCCCCCTACGAAATATTTTCTTCTCTCTTTCGTGTCTTTCTCCTTGGGCACGGAGGATACTACCAAATCTATGACGCGTTCAGATCAGACACTATTTGTACGATTTGTTCTGTTAGGGGTACTCAAGGTTGGGATGGCTCTGACGGGTCTCGAGTTTACCAACCCAGTCGTACATTCCTGAAATTTCAAACATATCGAGATGTTGGTCACTAAAGGTGGTCACTAAAGGCCGGGAGTTGAGCTCACAAGTCCAGGTTCACACTGCAGTGTGATTATGCTGAAGATGTGAGGGTGGTGGGCACAGAGAGAAGTCCTGAGTGAAGAGAACGGCATGGCTGCAGACAGATTGTGACTGTGATGCAGGACTGTCTGGTTTCTGCGATCATTGGTAACTTTACCATCAGCCTTTCCAGTAGCTTTCCAGTAGCCCAAGCTTGATTTACGAGGTGTATCCAAGCGAGGACCAATAGGTTGGCTAGGTAGTATGTCAAGCCTGACGAAGGATGATCCCATCCAGTCAGTGGTCGTCATGACTAAGAGGAGCACTCTGGGGGTATCCTAGCTCCTATTCTACTGAGGGAGGGCTTGTACGGTCGAGGCCCTGGAGGCAAGGGTCATGGTTCATGTTTGGCCGAGAAACATCATTGTCATTCATTGACTCGATTTCTGCAGAGATCTAAATTAATCATCACTCAAGCAAGGGTCAAGCATTTAGCTATAATCGTGCCTGGGAATCTCTCTCTATAGACTTGCCTCTGCCGAAGTGCTGAGCTGGGGTCGCTCTGGATACACTGCCAATTCGTCAACTTGAAATCCTTCAGAGCATTCCCACCGCAGCAATGAGTCCATGATTCGCTACTTAGACTGCGACTAATCCCAAGCCAAGTGTGATGGACTCTTTCGGTGTGCGTTGGCTGCAGGTGTCTGGCGCTTAGGACGATGAGGTGGTGGTGATCATTGGCTGCCCGCAGTCAACATCCCAACCCCCTCGTCACTTTTTTTGCTCTTCTGCTTTCCCCTCTTCTCTCCTCTATCCCAATCTCCTGTCCTTGCTGAGCAGTGGGCGACTATATAGCCGCGCAGTGCCCCTGGAGTACTGCGAATCTCTCTCTTCCTCAGACACTTTCTGTCTCAGTTTGTCGCTTTTTTTGCTTTCTGTTCTATTTTCGTCCCACAGTTGGTTCGTTTGGCTGGTCCAAACATTATTTACAATCTTTTGCCTTCTTGTTTTTGGATCTACACTTCGTCAATAATAGTCACTTTTTACATACTCACATCTTGCGAAGACTCTGTTGATCAAAGTCTTCAACTCAAGTTGCCCGTCTCTCTCAACGTGCAGCCATACTCCGTCAAGACTTAACAATCATCCTCTGTCAATCTTTCACCAAACATCACCCTCAATATGTATACAAGACCCAAGCTATCTGTGGTCACTTCGACCGCGCAGACTCTTTCTCGTCCTTCATTATCGCTGAAGTCTCCTGGTCCTTTCCCCCGCACACCAATCTCGCCGGTTCCCCCGAGCCCGGGTGCAAAGCGCTTCTCGACTATTCAAGCGCCATCATACAATTACACCAATTCGTGTAAATCAAAGAGCATCCTCAAGAAGCAGCCAATGGTCGGTGCAACCAGCCACGCGGACAAGCGAATCCAGTTCCATGGTACTCCTACCGTACACTGCGTGACGCCAATCGAGAACCCCGAGGAGTATTACGGCACCTACACGAAACTGTCAAAAGAAGAGCGACGCTGGATGGTGCGGGAATGAGGGATCGAACGACGCGGTACGGTGTCAACTCCAACACTCACCAGAACTGTCAAATCCCACACCCCAGGGTCGAGAGCTGGGTTCGTGGAGACGGCATGTTTTTGGGCATCTGCGCCCGGCTCCGACTTCTGGGATTAGTCGCGAGAATCCCTGAAATTGCGGTGCAACGCTTGGATTTCGATGATTGTCACTCAGATGACATCAGTGAGAGAGGCAACCGTGAAACAGTGTGTATATAGTTACTATTATGGCTTATGACGTGATGATATGATCCAAATGCATTTTTTATGAATCAAGCTGTGGTGAAGTGTGGATTGTAGGACGTAAACTGAGATAGGTGGACATTACTACTCTGCATCCTACAGCCCCAGAGCATGTTATCGACACCTAACCTGAGGGCAGCACAAAGTATCTAGTACTACGGATAATTTAGGCAATGTCTCTCTGTTGCTGAGTTGATAGTGATACCTGTTTTTAGGGCTCTATTCCAGGGCTTCGATGGTCCGTGCGGGTTCCGGGGAATGTTTTTCGCTGTGCAACTGTGCAACTTCTCATGCCATAGTGAGCTGAAGCACCAGCTTTGATACAACTCAATGCTGATTTCGAGATCTGCATCCGTCCTCCTCCGTGGGAGAATATGTGGTGCTTCAAGAGTGGTTCCGACAACCCAGAATCGAGGACTGCTTACCCTCGCCATTGAAACGTCATGGTAAGTCTTCTTGCTACCGTCAGACTACACCAACAGTCTGGATTCCGCTCATTTTTGTCCTCCTTCCAGCGACGATACGTCAGTTGCGATTGTCGAGAAAAATGATCGACCCCGAGATGATTCTGCGAGAATTCATTTCCTCGAGAATGTAACGGCAGATACCAGGAAATATCGAGGCATTCACCCAATGGTAGCACTTGAATCGCATCAAGAGAATCTGGCCAAACTCGTCAATAAGGCGCTCCAGCACTTACCCCCGGTATCAGAAGATGGCGAGGATACATCAAAATGGATAAGACTATCAGATGGCTCTCAACGTCGCAAGCCGGATTTCATATCCGCCACCCGCGGGCCTGGGATGCGCGCGAACCTCTTCACCGGACTTGACACAGGCAAAGGCCTGTCCGTCGCATGGCAGATCCCCTTTATCGGCGTCCATCATATGCAAGCTCACCTTCTGACTCCTCGACTTGTTTCCGCGATGAGCCGAGCGCAACATGACAGCGATGTCACCTCTTCCAACCCACCTGTAGCCCCCGAGTTTCCCTTCCTGTCTATACTTGTCTCCGGTGGCCATTCAATGCTTGTCGAGTCCACTTCAATCACAGACCATACTATAATTGCCTCGACTGCGGATGTCGCGATCGGCGACTCTCTCGATAAAGCAGCGCGAGAGATTCTCCCAACCTCTGTCCTCGACGAAGCCAAAACTACAATGTACGGCAAACTGCTGGAACAGTTTGCCTTTCCGGGCGGCAGTGCAGACTGGGGCAGCTACTGCGCTCCCAAGACCCGAGGTCAGGAGCTGGTCAAGCAGCCAAGTCCGTGGGGCTGGACCCTCACGTCTCCCTTCGCCAATACCCGGCAGCTGCAGTTCAGCTTCTCGTTTTTACCGAGCATGATCACGAAACTGATGGAAGCGAAGAAGACGGCGGGTGAGGATGTCTCGGATGAGGAGCGAGTTTCTCTGGCCCGTGAGTCCATGCGCGTCTGCTTCGAGCATCTTGGTTCGCGTACGATCATCGCTCTTGAGGAGCTGCAGCAGAAAGCGCGGAACAAGGGCGTCCCAGAGGTCAAAACTCTCGTTGTCAGTGGTGGGGTTGCGGCTAATAGGTTTCTGATGGCTGTGCTGCGGTCGTTCCTTGATGTCCGCGGGTTCGGACATGTTGAGATTGTTGCGCCGCCGCCGTATTTGTGTACGGACAATGCGGCCATGATTGGGTGGGCTGGGATTGAGATGTTCGAGGCTGGCTTCAGCACGGATCTCGGTGGTAGGGCTCTTCGGAAGTGGGCTCTTGATCCGCGCGCTGAGGATGGCGGTCTTTTGGGCGCTGACTGCTGGATGATAAAGTAAGGCCAGGATACTGTATACTAGGCTGTTCTTTCATGTACTATACGAGCATTATCTTTTGTACAGTATATTTTATTTATCAAAGTGTGGATCATGAAAGTTCCGCTCGATATGTCTTGAATGTACTTTTCTCGAATTTGTTCATGTCGTAGCCCACCCATGAGTAGAACAGGTGACGATGCCACAGGGATTATGGTACTACCAGATTCCTAACGCATACCCCGAGTTCGCTCGCAGCATCAACCACACTGACCAGCGCGCCCAGTCTGGTTATACTCAGCAAACGCCAGCAGCCAGCATGTCCTCAATTCTTCCTCCTGGAATCCAAGGCCCCTGAAGCCTTGCTTCAGACTCGGCTTGACAACGGTACCACCCCGTATGGTTCATCTTCGCCTGAGAGCTAATACTGCTCCTTTTCAACTCAACCTCCAGGCACAGTGGCTCCCTGGCGCAACGCGGTCACCTGCTTGCGAAGCTCGAGAAAGAAGTCCTTCCCGTTTGCCATCGTGTTGGCTACCCGTGTGTTAACAGCACTGAACTCAACGAGTGTAACGGATCGATGGGATGATAACGTACGCTTTGCGCCCCAGGGTCCGCTGGCACGGTTGCTGTTTGCATCTTTTCCACCAGGTCTGTAGAAGAAAGGCTTGGGCTCTGGTGCGGGTGGTCAGCGACTCTTCTGCTCGTGGCGGACATGTAGATTCCGGCTGGATGGGCGGGTATTACCTCCTGGGCCTGAAGATATACCAGAGAGTGTTAGTGGCTTCTACAGAATGGAATGGACGACCAGGGAATGCCTACCTCTCCGTAGGGCTGCCTTCGCCTCTGCGGAGTTGAACCCGCGCACGGGAACGTGCTGTTCCTGAGACGGCCCGGTGGCGAGCTGCTCGCGGGAATCCGTCCAGGGTGCTGAGTTTTGTCCGCTGCGATTCCCACCGGGAGCGCCCATGTTCCTCGAGTTAGAGTGTCTTTGTCCCGACTGGCGGTTTTGATCGTAGGGACGACCTCCGCGCCATCTAGAGATAAAACTGTCAGTGAGGAGATCTGGCTTGATTACCTCGAAATAGAAGATGGAGTGGGGATGTATACCGTTCTTCACCGGGACCACTCATCCTGGAACAAGCCGATTGCTCCGCCGAAGAGGAAGTAAGTGAGAGTGATGGATAAGCTCCGCGTTGCTTGGGAATATCTGATCCGGGGTGGAGTCTCCGCTCTGGCCCAGTGCGGTTTAGCGCCAAGACATTGACAGTGAGTGATAGCGGACGTCCAGCTGCCTGCGCGTCGCCCCTCGCCGTCGCCCGTCATGGCCGTGGAGCCTTCTATTTACTGCTGTTGCTATTCATTCCTTGCACGTTCCGAGCCATGAGTTGCATTTATGTTGTTTGATATTTTTCTCTCTGGAAAGAGCGGCGCGCGGCTTGAAATCTTTACGCTTGAAATTTGAGGCTCAGCGGCAACCCCAACGAAACGCTATTCAGGGACGCTATATAAAGCTACCTTCCAACAGTGTCTGCCCATTCCATGACCTTTCTTTAGGATGGCGCCGTATTCCTCATCGAAATATCGCTTGTCGGCCGGCAGGGCCTCGCGAAAGGGCCCGAAAGTTACCCTCAAGGGGCCAGACCCTGAAGCTAACGAAGGCCCCCCTCTCAAGAAACGAAGATACATTCCTGGAGGACCTGGAGGTGGAGGAAGATATGTCGAAATCGACGTGGAAGAACCCCCCAAGATCAAACGAACCCCCATTAGGCGGAGCTCGTCCTCGCGAAGTCGCCCTGCGCCTGAACCTGCGCCTGAACCTGCGCCTGAACCTGCGCCTGAACCATTGCCCGAACCTTCTCCCGAATCTGAACCTGAAACCCAACCCGAACCGGAGCGTGAGCCTGAACCTGAACCTGAACCTCAGCCAGCTCTCCTCCCTCCGCCGCCGCCGCCGCTCCCTGTTCCGACAACTCCTCCCTCGGCTCGTCTGACAAGGGAGAAGACGCAGACTCGTGGCCGCTATGGCTCGTCGACCGCAGCCGCTTTGGCCCTACAGCAGGGAGACGGGTACAAGCCGCGCGAGGAGCGCGGTTGGGAGGAATTTCACCCGGACTTGGATATCGATGCCAAAATTGCAGTTTTTAGCGCAGAGGAAGTAGATCGTCCGGCTCCGTCGACACCCATTACGGAGATATTACAGTTGAATGGTATCGACATTAATGGGAGTAAGGATCCATTAGCGGAGCTTATCAGGCTGCACACCAGTGGCGCGTCTCCTTCACCTATCAAGCGCAAACCAGGCCGTCCTCCCCGTCGTCCTGAGGCTATTCTGAATGCCCTCGGTATCACTCCTCAGCCGAAAGCTGTGCCACCCCCGGGTCCGAACCCCCGCGAGAGGCTCACCCTCCCAAAGCCTTCGTTTCGGTTGCGGGATCCGTTTGTCTTCTATGACCAGCCAGGGGTTGGCCAGCAGAATTACGTGGACCGGACGATGGCGAGCGTGGGCTACCAAGAAAGCGATCTTTTCGTCCGTCATGAGCGGCAGATGATCCGTATGACTGAGGGAGCGCAAGAGGACGATCTGGATATTATCAACCCTCCCTCCACCGAGGGAGAAGTCAATGCATCGGTTGGCAGAGTTGAATATGACATGGATGAGCAAGACGAGAAATGGCTGGAAGACTATAATGCGAAGCGAAGGGAGGAGCAGTTAGAGCCTATCAAACCGGCTGTCTTTGAAATTACCATGACGAAAATCGAAAAGGAGTGGCATACTCTAGAAAAGCGTATCCCGAAGCCGAACCCGAAACCTCCACAGACACAACGCCCCCGGTCAAGCTCTGCAGCAGCCGTGAATGGAGAAACAACTGCTCCGGGCGAGGAACAAGACAGTAAATGTGCTATCTGTGACGATGGCGATTGCGAAAACTCCAACGCCATTGTATTCTGCGATGGGTGTGATCTCGCGGTGCATCAAGAGTGTTACGGTGTTCCCTTCATCCCCGAGGGGCAATGGTTGTGTCGGAAGTGCCAGCTGATCGGACGGGGATCCGTCAACTGTATCTTCTGCCCGAACACCGAGGGTGCTTTCAAGCAGACTACGAGCTCTAAGTGGTCTCATCTACTCTGTGCCATATGGATCCCCGAGGTCTCCCTTGGCAATCCCTCGCTCATGGAGCCGGTGACTGATGTTGAGAAAGTGCCCCGGAGTCGTTGGAAGCTAACCTGTTACATCTGCAAGCAGCGAATGGGAGCTTCGATTCAGTGTAGCAACAAAAACTGCTTTGTTGCCTTCCATCCTACCTGCGCACGGAGGGCTCAGCTTTACCTCAAGATGAAATCCGGCCATGGAGCTCCTGCAATCATGGACTCTCATCTTCTCAAGGCGTTTTGTGATAAGCATGTCCCTGACGATTGGCGCTTGGAGCATGGTACCGACGCTGCTACGGCGGATGCTATAGAATATTACCGCAACACAATGCAAGGCAGGCAATGGGGTGATAGTCAGGCGGCCGCTCTGTCACTGGAGCCATCCCATCCTTTGGGGGTCGAACCCGGCGAACTCGATAGACAAAGGACACATACCCCGCGTATCACGCTTACTGTTGGTGGAAACAAAAGGAAGCGCCTTGGTCCACCAAAGACGATATGGAAGCTCCCGTCCGGTGCTCCGGTTATTCCTCAGGTTGTCCTTAATTCAGTTGTGGCGTCCCTTCAACGCTTTGGTGTTCGGCAGAGAAAGCAGTACGCCGAAGATGCCTGCAAGTACTGGACACTTAAACGCGAAGCCAGGCGAGGGGCAGCTCTTTTGAAACGACTGCAATTGTCATTGGAAACCTTTTCGTCAATGGAGATGACACGAAGAGATTATGTCGCCATGGGAGTCAGTGGTGGCAAGCGACTGCAGAGACGCATCGAATTTGGTGAAAGATTGTCTTACGACCTGGATCGGCTCAGGATGTTGTGCGATGAAGTAAAGAAACGCGAGCGGGAAAAATTGAAGGATGCGGAACTCCTAAAATCCATCATGGATACCGTATACTTTCCTATCTTCCCTCTGCTCTGGCCTATCTTCGACAAAGCCCAAGGGTGAGTGATCTATTTCTGGTCATCGAAGGATTAAAGTTTCCTCGCTAATGGTCTCTTAGGCTTGACGGAAAGGGCGTTTTCAGACAAGGTCTGCTTTCTCTACGCACGAAACTTCAGCAGCGGTACTACACATCGGTTGCAGCCTTCTCGGCCGACCTAGCTTCTATATTCACGTCGGAAATCGGGGTTCAACCTGCCGGGGACACTGCTGAGTTACAGATGCAGATCAGCGGGCGCGCTCCGGAACTCCCACTTGAACAACGTGAGAAGAGGAAATTGGCTAAGCGGATCATCAAGGCCATCCAGCCTGCCCTCGAGGATGCGATCAAGAAAGAGAGCGAGCTCAACCGCAAGCCCTTCGAGAAGGAACTAAAGGAGCTGGATCTCATGTTTGAGAATAGCGTCCTCTCCCGAAGAGGGTCGGTCGAAGAAGGATCTGCAGAGCCGGCTGAAGGCGAGGCGCATATCGAACCTCGGGCTTCTAATGAAGTCCCGGGTGGTATTCAACGGAAAGTCGGCGGTGAAGCAGAAATTACTGCCAAAGTCGAGCCCCAAGAGGGGTCATCCTCCCCGGCCCTGCTTGAGAAGGCAGGGGAAACTCCCATGCCTGACGCTGGCAGCGAGCAGCCTGTCCCAGAGGCTCAAGTTCAGGATACTCCCATGACTGATTCTGCTGAACTTGTTTCCCCGGCGACTGTGACTGAGCCGGCAAATCAAATTGCTCCTGTAGCACCGGCAACAATTCCCACTATTGCTGAATCGCAGCAGCAAGCTGAGCCAAGCAAGCAGGAACTTAATAGCTTGCCACTACTCGCACAGCCGGCTGAGTCCCAGAAAGGGCTCCTTACACCCCCACCAAGCTTTCAAGGTGATCCACAGCATCCGTTGTCGCAGGGTGGTGTTCTATGGTACATGCAACCATTCGATCCCCTCGGAACGACCATCCACGAAGAACGCTGGACCGGCCGCGATGTCATGCGGGGGATGAGTGAGGAGCTTAGTGAGTTGGATGAGGACGAATTGAAAGACTTGGTAGACGATGAGATGGAGGGGGAATCGGCGCCAACTGATACAGCAGCTACTGCTTTGGACGCTCCGACCAGCGAGACGGGTGTGAAAGTCCATCGAACTCGGAGGCGATGGCGTGGATTCAAATGATTCTTCGACGTGTTTGCGAGCAAGGTGTTCGCAAACTTTCTTCTTCTCTGCATTTCTGTTTTGAATCCTTATTTTATTCCCCTTGCGAGTTTTATTTCGAACCTTTAAAGATGGGAGCAAAGGCGCGTTATGAGTGTTATGTTATAATCGTGTAGATGAAGCATTGATTTGCGCATTGTGCTCTTTACTTAGACTGAGAATTAGTTGATATGGATGAATTGAGCCTGAGCTTACTACAAGAAAGCTAATCCTCTCATCTGTAGCTAGTAGAATTTGTCGACATTACTCCGTACTCTGTACTGGTTGTGAACTACACCAGGCGTGCGAGGCTTGGCGCCATCCACACGAGAGCCGCGCCCGGTCTGGAATTGCTCGCCTCGCTTTTTCCTGCTCATCTCTCCCCCTTCCTTTCCATCATCTTCATCACCATCCTCTCTCGTCTCCCATCCCTTTCATCACTCCTTCTTTTTCTACTTCTCCTTCTACGGGAATCTGATAGCTTCTGGGTTTTCGGCATTCCTGACGCAGGCTTGATCCCCGACTGTTGGTGATTGGATTTTTCTGCTTTCCCTTTTTTACCCTTCATTCAAACACAGCCTGTTGCTGGACGTGCATCTCGCGCGCTCTTTCGAGTAACAAGCTTCGTTCATCTTCATACTTCCCTTATCACCTATCCGCTTTCTTCGTTTCATCTTCTATTCCAAAATCGACATCATGTCTGCTGAATACGAGAACGAGAACGGTCGCTACGACGGTATGTGTTTGCCTAACGACACCCCGACCAACATTAGTCCTAGTCGTCGTCGCGGCGCTCGCAGTACAGTACTGATTTGTTTTGCTTCTCTCAACTTCAGACGAGCCTCGCTTCGCTCGCGACCGCAGCGCTTCTCCTCGCGATGAACCTCGGGGCGATCGTGCTCGTAGCCGTTCGCCCAACGGACGTGCCGATGAGCGGTAATCTCGCCCTCTCTTAGATTTTCACTTTCTTTGTATCACTCGAACCAGCACGCTGACATCTCTTGTTCAGTGCCCCCGTCGATTCTCGCAAGCCCGACGATGATGAAGAAGGTGCCATCAACCCCGGCTCGAACCTTTTTGTCACTGGTATCCACCCTCGTCTGACCGAGTCCGATATCTGCCGTCTGTTCGAGAAGTACGGCGATGTCGAGAACTGCTCGATCATGGTGGACCCTCACACCAAGGAGTCTCGTGGCTTCGGCTTCGTCAAGATGGTCACTGCCGAGCAGGCTGATGCCGCCAAGGAGGGTCTGCAGGGCGAGGTTATCGAGGGCCGTACTCTGAGCATTGAGAAGGCTCGTCGTAGCCGCCCCAGAACCCCTACTCCTGGCAAATACTTTGGACCTCCCAAGCGTGGTAAGTCCTCAATCCGGTGGTTCAAGCATACAGTTCAACTGCTAAATCATTCTTTCTGCAGACTTCCGTGGACCTGGCGGCCGCGGCGGCCGTGGTGACCGCTACGATGACAGACGCGGACCTCACGGTGGCAGCTGGCGTCGTGGCGGCGGCGGCGGCGGTGGTGGTGGTGGTGGTGACGACTACCGTTATGGCCGTTACGACTCCTACAGTGAACGTCGTGACTACGGTGGTGGCCGCGAATACCGCGACTACGGTCGTCGTGAGTACCGTGACGACTACAACAGCTACCGTGGTGGCATTGATCGCTACGCCTCCGGTAGTGGTGGTGGCCGTGAAGAGCGGTACAGTCGCGAGCCTCGCCGTGACGATCGTCGTGGCTATTATGATCGTGATGCTAACCCTCCCAGCTACGGCGACGCCCCTCCTGCCCGTGAAGCCTACGCTGGCCGCTCTTATGAACCTCGTGGTGGTGAAGACAGGTACAGTGGCCGGTAGGTGAATTGACGACATGGGAAGCCAACACTCGAGTCGAGTTCATGCAACGTAATTATTCCCCATGTTAGTCTTTTCCTCTTTTCGCTGGCTTTTCCCCTTCTTCCTACCCTCCTGCGCTTTTCTCTTGTGACATGCCATTTCTTTTCCATTTTCTTTGAAACGCTTCTATTTCAAGAATACCCCTACGATTGGGTCTCGGTTTGACGGTCGACCCTGGGGCGTGATGGTTTGTTTTCTTGTCTTCGAAGGAAAAGTCGTCTTCACGTTCACATGTCTTTTCGATCGGAACGCCACCAGTTTTGCGACCAATCTCTCAACCACTTCAAAACAAAGCAAGAAAGAAAGGCCAGGACAGAACTGTGTCGACGCCCTTCGGTCACAGGCTGATATTTTTCATTTGTTCATCGCTTCGATACACCCGGGAAATATGGCGGCAGGGAAAGAGAAACAAATTTTCACAATAACGTTGTAATTCTTCGGATTATCTCATGGGTCAGCACTGCTGCATTTGCAACTCTTCCGGAAAACTTGGTCGTTGTCTCGCTAGTCAGCTTTTCGCCTTATTGCGTCTTATACAGCTTTGTCTACGTAACGACTCGATTGTATTCGGCCTGAAACACATAAACAAACAAAATGGCTTCGGCCCATTCACGCACACAAGAAATCTGTCTCTACGCCTTGTTTGAAACAGACTGACTGAACGGGATCCGGCTTTTCCTCGCCAATTCCGCCACAGCCGCTGTTATTTTGTGCCTGTAGTATCACCAACCCGAGGACAGCCTTCCGCAAGTGGCATCTCTTGTTGCGCCGGACCGGATCAGCTTAGTTCAAAGTAATATCCTGGGTTGATTCACTATCTACAGGCCTGCTGCAGCATCCTCATGCGGCTGGTTTGCCCCATATCGATGGCAGCGATCGATGACAATCGCCCTAGAGGTAAGGATAAACAGCAGGACAAAGAGCACTAACGTCGGATACAGTAATAACCTATATTCAACCACCTACCTTAATCGAAGATTTTGGGCAGAACCCTCCTTTCTCATTCTGCTACAAAATTCTGCTAGCCCTATGGTGACGGTTCTTTCACTTGCTCTACTGAGACACTAACAATCAGGGTTATTGTTGTTATTATGCACAAATCTATAGTGCCTGTTAATTTTCTCTTAATATGAAAAATCTGCTTCTTATAACACACTTCTTGTGCATTTAGGAGTAGTCATCATGAGGGTAAAGTCTAGTTGGAGAGCCCAGTCTCCCTGATCTCATGATTAGGCGCCGTGTTGGAATAAACTAGTAATACAGTGCAGCGTAGACTGTCGCCACAAGTTGGTATGGTATAATCTGTATCATCCATACGATCTTGTGTCACTAACCTGCTCATTTTTTCTTTTCATTGCGGAGCATGTGATTTCAAGATTTCGTGCTGAATGACCTCGAAATTTATATATTCCAAGCACCGCCGGACCGCATCCATGCGAAAACTACAAAATTATCACTTAAATTCATAGAAGGGAGCTATTTCAAGTTGTCGCCCCTAGAGGGGAAATATCAACCTTGAGATTGAGGCTCTCGCTATATCCACAATATGCAGGTAAAAGGCGTGCAACCTTCGCTGAAATCTAGCTTGCAACATGGATCGAAAAGTCTTGCCCGTAGTGGGATGTTCACCCGCAAAACCGAATAATCAAATTCGAGCATCTAATGTCAGCAGAGTGATCATAGGTGGCATGGAGAGAGATTGACGAGGGTCCATGTCCCTTGCCATCAAGTTCGCAGCTACTCCGAGTCAAGGACCCGTGTAGTGCTCATCCTCATGCAGACGTAAGCATGCATTTTCCTTTCCTGAAATGCTGCTCCACGAGGCACAATATACATGAGGTAACCGATCCTCGATGGGATTCAAAGCGCTCGCTAGCGCCACCATCCGAAATCCCCAGCTTATTCAGGCGACTTCTTCGTGGTGACCCCGCCCCCCTCAATCTCGTTGCTCTTCTGAATCAGAAACTCGCCTAGCACGCGTAGGGGATCGGAGGGTCTGTCGCGAAGGCGATATTAGTACTAGGCGTGGATGATCCCTGCCCTGCCCAACGCCCGGCGCTGAGCCATTACAGAGCAGGCACATTTCACGAGCAACAAGAAGCCACTCACTGTTCCTTGACGATGGATTTCATCCCCTCAAGCAAGTATGGCACTATCTTTTCATTCATGTAAGTTCGTGCCGGCGCGCCGCCCGGACGGGCCTGCGCCGCAGGGGTATTCGACTCCGCTCGCGGGGTGTTTGCTGCGCCGGCATTGCTGCTTGGTGTTGCTCCGTTGCCCATGTTGATTAGATGTGATGCGCTTGGTCCGGACGTCGAATCACTGTGTGGGATTGAATTGTGAAGAGGCGCAGAGGACGTAGAGGGTAATTCTTTCTTGATTGAGGCGGCCGAGTCGGGTGACTAAGGACTATGAGTCAGATGGAGGGGTAGCGATCTCAGTGTATGACTGATCGAAGGAAAAGAAGGGACGAAGCAATAGGCAAGAGTAGACAGAAAGATAAAGGGATGTCGCAGTTGGAAAGAAAGATGTCCCAAGGCGGAGCTTGCGGGCGGAGCTTCTTCAAGCTCTCCACTGTGGGGATGGCGATGAGGGGAGGTATTTCTCACAGGAACGTCCGCCATGGCTACTATTATGTCAAAAGATGATATATATACAGAATGCGAGGATAGGAGTCATAGTTGATGCGCTTATTTTAGATGCGAACAAATGCGCCTTCATCGTCGCTGCTTATCTTACTGCTGCCATTGCGAGGGGGTCAGGCTGCAAACATGTCAAACAGGTACAAAATTCAATTAAAGGCAGGTGACTTCGCGTCTTTTCGTGACACGTTTGAGCGCCAGCGATGGGGATGGCCTTTCGGACTTCAATAACAGTTGTGTCAGCGCGTCGTTGGCCATCAAATCACTAATAGTGATGCTGTTCACGGAGATACACTCTGAAACATCGTCTCGAATGATTATCTCAAAGCTCTCGTGGCAGCATGTCCCTTCTGGACTATTGGGACACATCGCGCCCTCCCGTGAAGCGCAGGAAGACTACTACTAAAGAAGGTCAAGAAAGTCCCAGGACAGTTGCAACCCAGAAGG